CTCTGGCTACCTTTCTCTTGTTGGGCCCTTCCTTTGCTTATTATCATCTTAAAATTTGACTTAAAGATTTGAGGGCAAATGAGAAAATGAACTGAAATCGGTCCATTCTAGATAAGCCCTAATAGAAGGAGCTAGCTAAGACAGAATTTTCCCCCAGAGTCATCATCTATGGATTTTAGTTTCATTCTCATCTCGTTATTGCTGAAAATTAGGACTTTTGACTGGTTGCTCCTACATCTAATTTATTTTAAGTCTTTCTGTCATCAAATAAGAATTCCAAATGGACCTTTCTTACGGGTAGAGAAAATCATTTGTTGAAACTTTTGAATGTGAAAAATTTAACCCAGAGAATGTAATGAATATCCTGCATCTTCACCAGCAAATACTTTGCCATATGTGCTTCTGTTGTTTGTTTGCTTGTTTTTTATTTTTTAAAGTCTTCTTTTGTGGCCTCACTTTCTCTCCCTGGGGTTACCATTCTCTTTGGTATTTACCATCCCCACTAGTGTTTTCTTACTGCTACTAAATATGTATCTATCTATAGCTATATACTACCTTGACCTACTTTTGTATCAATGGCATCATATTGAATACAGCTTCCTGAAACATTTTTTCCATGCAGCATATCTATCTATCTATCTATCTATCTATCTATCAATCTATCTATCTATCTAATCTAATTCATTCTTTTTTTACTGGCTAATATTTACTCAATCTGCTGGTAATTTTTTCTGTTACAAACATTGGCTGTTACAATTATTATTGAACAATACTTCAAGATTATGCACATTTGGGGCACAGAGTAAGTAAAAAATTGGTGAATACAAAGAGGTACATAGTTTTTCTTAGCTACTGACAAATCCTAGCAGCAATGTAGAACATTTCCTGATTTCTGTTTCTCCATATTTTAGCAAACACAAGGTAAAGTCTAACTGCTTAATTTTGCCTAATCCTGGTGACTGTGAGGTAATACATACTTCCTTTGTTGTGTTAATATCACTTTCTTGCTCATAGCAGAGAGGACTAAACATTTATTTTAAATGTCATGGACATTTTCCAACCCCCTCCACACTACAGATAAATGTGATAATAAAGTGCTGAAAAAGTTGTTTTAAAATCTCACAACTATAAGGTAAACAAATGTGTACTCTGCAATTCATTATACATTTGCCCATCCAACAATTATATTCAACTCCTGATAATTGCCAGGCCTGGGTTATGAGGATGACTAAGATTTTGTGTAGAAACATAAAGACCGAGAACATGGCGGATAGATAAGAGCAGTTATGGAGGCTCTCTGAGATGCCCAGCTTAGAATCCAGGAATGGTGCGGTGCAAGGAGTCCTAAGCAACGGGAGATATACCCTGCCAACCCAGGAACGAACTAAGCTGAGAGAAACCAATTAGAAATGCAATACTGGTGCTATAATAGGAACAGATAAAATCTCAGTGCGGAAGCTGGAACCCACACCACTGGAAGCCGCGATTTGAATTTCCTGCTGCTACTGCTGTATCCAAATCCACACAGCAGGGAGATGCGCGAAAGCTCTGAGAGTGGGAATCACCGAACGGAGTTGAGAGCGGGACTGTCAGGGAGCTCTGCATCGACCTGTGGTGAGTGAGCAGAACGGGGACCCTTCCATAGAGTAGAAGGCTCCAACAAAGGACATTCTAGGACCGGGCAGACTAGCCGGAACAGGACGCTGCAGTGACCTTAGTCACATATTCCCCTCTCAAGCGGGAATGGTGTGGAGCACTTGGCCTGGGTGATGCTGCTGACTAAGATCCAGTAGGCTAGCCCAAACCAGGTCCCAATGCCTGGCGGTGCACCCTACCAGTGAAGCCTTCAGTAGGTTGACCGGGAGGGGCGGGCCCAGCAAAGGCTGCCCAGGTCTGGGTCTCCCTAGTACACTGCAGTGTGCAGGAACACCTAGATGGCAGGTTCAAACAAACTGTAACTGATAAAGAAAAAAACTGGGCCTCTTATATACGATTGTATGGAAGGAACAAAAAGTATGGGAAGAGGGAGCAACAAGAAAGGGTCCTCAGTCTCTAATCCGGAGAACACTGATCCAGGAAAGGTAAATGCAAAGGAGGACAGAAAACATGCAATATCAGACACGGCACCAATAGACATAAAGCAATATCTCCGGAGCCTCATAGACGAGTTCGAAAGTGAAGTATTTAACAAAATAAAGCAAGATATAAGTAGAATAGTTAGAGAAATGCTAAGCACCTCCTAAGAAAAAACAGATGGTGGAATGGAAGAACAGAAAAAAGGGGAGAATTCTTTGATGGAGAAAATAGAGAAAACAGAATACGTGAAGCATGTTCAAAGAGATGATCAGGAAACTAAAAACCCTATTGAAAGCTGGCGTAACAGCTTGAAAGAAACTAAGGATACAGAACTACAAAGAAACTAAGGATAGACTATCTGAACTGGAGGACAGATTTGTAATGTGGGAGCATGAAATGAAAAACTTCTTAAAAATAACAAGAAAACAAACAGCAATAATACAAAGGCTAGAAGATGATAAGAGGATCTATAACTTAAGAATTAAGAACATAAAAGAAGAAGTAGGGACACAAACAAATGGACTACAAAGCTTTTCACATTAATAATCCAAGAGAATTTCCCTAATTTAGCAAAAGGTAAAGATACTCAGATGTATGAGGCATACAGGACCCCAGCCTCCTACAACCCAAACAGAGCTACACCCAGGCATATAATAATCAAAATTCCAGAAATCCAGTATAAGAACAGAATATTAAAAGCCATCAGAGACAAGAAACAGATCACTCACAAGGGAACACCCATCAGAATTACAGCAGACTTCTCGGTATAAACCATCAAATCACGAAGAGCATGAGGGGAAATAATTCAAGCTTTAAAAGATAATAACCTCTGGCCAAGATTGGTGTATCCTGCACAACTGTCCCTGGAAATTGATGGAAAAACAAGGTGCTACCAGGATAAAGAGGAACGAGGGGAATTTGCAACCACTGATTCAACTCTACAGAGAATACTGCAGGATATTCTAAAAAAGGAAAATACTAAGATTCCAGAAACAGTGGCAGAGAGGCCACAATGAATGGAGCAGAAAGAGAAATGAAGAAAACAAACTGACAACTAACGACAGAAAAAGAGCTCAACAGAAATGAGCCAGAGAAGGTTGGATGGTAGGAACAGCTATTTTGGAGAAAACGATGTCATAATAAGTAATGCTGATTTAGTATCATCTTGTTTTGAATTCCCATCAAGCTTTTATTCTTCTGTCTCCATCGGTCTTAACAGGTTATATCTTATTGGATTTTATTATATGTGACAATATAAACAAAAACTTTTATAGACAAAGAGACTAGAGAATATAGACTACAGAAACCATTGTCCATTTTCTGATAGTTGGTTCTAAATACCCTGTAACACTGTCATTCTCTTGAATGGTTTTACATTGTCTTGATATGTTTGGTGGTACAGTATACGAAGTTATACTCAAAGATTTCAAGGAAAGAGACACTATGGTAACTACTTTTATGTCAGGATATCTTGTGATGAAACACTATTTTGCTTAAATGGTTATGTTTTGACCTGCACTGTTTTGTTTTTATGCCCTCTTTTACCTCAATCTCTTTTTTGTAATTATTTACTTTTTTATTTTTATCTTTTTAATTAAGGGAAAAATAAATAAAAAATAGCAGGATATATTATAGTAACCCACTTTGATTTCCTATTAACTTGATTTGAAACCCTGTATTGCCTTTGCCATCTTGTTTTGACTGATTTTCCCCTATTCTGCTTTGCTTGATAGTACCAAGTTTGAAAGTATAGGCAACAACTGTGAAGACAATAAGATTCATTATGACGCCCATTTTGGTTGACTATTATCTTCTTTTAAAGTCTTGAAATGTCTTCAATGTTTTGGCTTTATTGGTTTTGTTCTTTACTGTTTTGTTCAAGTTTATTATAACTGATGATATAGGCAATTCTTTTTAAGATAGCAAGAGGCAGTATGGTAACTATTGTTGATCACCTTGTATTTTGTTTTCACATTATGTATTATGTCCATCCTTTTGATTTGACTGACTCTGTTCTGTTATGTCACATTTGGTTTTACTCTCTTCAAAAAAAGTAATAAGAACTGTGGGAGTAATAAAACCCAAAATGTGTAATTGTCATTGTACAAAAGAGGAAAAGAAAGTGCTCTAAAGGATATAACTGCATGTATATTTAAGTGTATAAGATAGAAAACCATATTACTGAGTTTTGTTGGATCACTGAACAGAACTGTTTGCAGTCTCACTGTTTGAAAGTCCACTTTATATGCTTTAATTTTGTAACTTGAACAACTATTTCAGATAACAATATGTAATCTATTAACTAGTGATTTCCTACTGTTTGTTTTTTCCGAAATTCTGTATAACTTGTACCCTTTTTCTGTTTTTTTTTTCTTTTTCTCCTTAAATAAAATCTAAAAAAAAAAAAGAAACATAAAGACCTCAGGAAATCATATGGCAATTAGCTCAATATAGTATACATAGCTTCACAATGCATGCCTGGAAAATTAACATCGTTCCTTCAAGAGTCCTTGCTTCTGCGAGGTAATCACAGCTAGCATTCATTCATTGCTTGTATCTGACCTATTTACCATGCCACATGAATCATGTAAGTGATCTCGTCTGATCTTCACAGCAACCTTAAGAGGAAGTTACTATTATTTTCTCCATTTCTCTGAGACAGAGAAGTAAAATAGTTTTTCCAAGGTAGGCACAAAACTCTGTTTTGATGCCAAACAGTCTAAATCCAGAGTCTGTGCTCTTAGGTAGTTTACACTATTTTGCATCTCTCATTCATTGCCTTTACCTCCATTTCTGCCTCCCTATGCAAAATCAGAAGATACCACTTTTTGATCTCATCGTAACCTAGCAACATCCCTATTAGAGATGCTCCTTTTTGAGTTATTTTCAACTATTTTCTAATTTTCTTTTGTCCTCTACTTTAGAAGAACAGCACAAAGTATGTGTTTAATGAATATCTTGGTGAATATATAAATGCAATGGGATACTAAGGATGAAACAACTGAGTTTTCATGGCATGATCTCAACCACATGGAAGAAGGAAGAAATGTGCCTGGCAAGCAATCAGGCCAGCATGTAAAAGGTGCTTTTGTTGCCTGTACAAAGAAGCTTCCAAAGCCCGGGATTACTGGAGAGCAGGTATTCATGAGGGAGTAGTGAAGGGGTAAGAAGAAAGAAAGGCCAGGGCTGGTGTTGGTTTTTTTTTTTTTCCTGTAGGTGATGGGAAGGCTCTAAGGACTGTGAAACTTTAGGAAATTCAAACTGTCCTGGGTATTTGTTCACACACTTTTAAAATGTCTAAACTTAGATTGATTTACAGAATAATATTTTGATGTACATAAGAGTAAAACTCTAGACAGTTCCATCAAAGTTAACTTTTAAAAGAAATGTCAGCATTTCATAAAAGCTTTGCTCAAGCACGCTTATCATTTCTTTGAAATGAACCACATAAACACCTTATGAGCTCTCCAAGTGTACTTTAAATGCTTATTTTTGTTAAAAGGGAACTTTCATCCTCATCAAATGTGTACTGTCTCCAAAACACGTGTAGACTTTTGGTCTAACTTTTTGTGGCTATTACCTTGTTTTGGGCAGGGGGATTGTTTTATAATTTTACTTTGGGGAGAGTGACATTTTATTCATATATTTTCAGGTATTTTTCCCTTATGTATAACTGTAACATATGACATGAACTAAATGGAAGTGTCTGGCCCAACATTGAACAAGGATATCTGAGGCTCAGATACATAAAGGAAAGACTGGTTTGCTCAGGGACTCTGCTGAAGTCCAGCAATCATGTGACAGAAAGAACAAAGGCAGAATGGGAACTTGAGACAAGTGAAAGCTAACCAACAAGAAGATAAACTTGTCCAGTAAAATGAGAAAATAGTTGAGGATAGACAAGAATGTTTAAAGAGTTGGCCTTAGAAAAAGGACTTCACCTTGGTAGAAAAGGAGATTAAACAGCTTATCTTTCAAGGAAGGAGGAATTGGTTCTAAAAAATAAAGTTCTTTGGAGCTGGCCAATGTAACTTAAGTGACTGATTGAACATGGGTAGACAGATACAACACAGAAATCAGGAAAGTTTTACACACTGTAAAGGAGTCGTGACCCAGTATTCACACAGGAGGACTAGTCAATTACATCTGTGGTTCTTAATTGGTCTACACCAAGCAATTCCATGGCACACATTTTTCACACAACCTACAAAGTTTAGTTCAAGTCACTGAACTATAATAACCTGAGAACTATTTTATAAAAATTTAGAAAATAATTGGTAAGGCCTTTGTGTTTGGCATGATTATATTTATTTCTTGTCTAAATTACCTTTCTTGGGCTGGGGGTTTAGCTCAGTGGCATAAGTGCCTGCTTGGCAAGTGTGAGGTCATGAATTCAATCCCCAGTACCAAAAATAAAAATTAAAACTAAAAATAAATAAATAAATTACCTTTCTTGTTGCTAAGACAAAATACTCAACATCAAAGTTAAAGGAGACAAGGTTTATTTGGCTCACAGATTTCAGAGGTTTCAGCTCATAGTTGGCTGGCTCCAAGGCAGGGTGGCATGGAAGAAGGACATTGCAGAGGAGGCAGACAGAAGACAGCAAGCAACAAACAACAAGTGACAAACCTATTTCTGTCCCTTACATTTTACCTGGGCTACTACCCTTCAGATGGATAGCATCCACACTCTTAATCCCAGCACTGCACCCATGATCTCAATATTACATACTCTAAATCCGTCTACTTCCTCCACTTATGACTGCATGAGGCTTTCTCACATCTAGCTACAAGCCACAACTTTTCTCATTCAAACAATAATGTTTAGATTATATTTATTTCTCATTGAAACAATAATTTTTACCCACTAAAAAACACAACAGGAAATACTTCTATATTCATTTCCTGTGGCTTGGCTACTGTAACACGCTCTCATAACCAGAATGGCACAAAACAACACAAATTTATTCTCTTACAGTTCTAAGGTCAGAAATCCAAAACTGGATCACAGACACAGGATATAGCTCTGGCAAAGCATTTGCCTAGCATGTGCAAGGCCCTGGGTTCAATTCCTAGAGCAGAAACAGGATGGCAGTAATCACTGGGCTTCTAGTAGAGGTATTGTCAGGACTGCATAGCTTCTGGATGTTCTCAGGGAAAGCCTGTTTCCTGGCCTTTCCCAGCTTCTGGAAGATGCCTACATCCCCTGTGTCCTGGCCTTGTTCTTCCTTCAAAGGCAACAGTGGCTAGTTGAGCCTATCATGCTGCAGGCTGCCATCAACTGTCCTACCTCGTTCTTGCACTCACCTGTACAATCCAAATTAATCCCCTGATTTGGAGATCAACTGATTAGCAACCTAACTTTCCCTTTGGCATGTAACACCTTCACAGGTTCTAGAAATTTAGGAAGTGATCTTCTTTTGGGAGTAATTATTTTGTGTACAATTTCTAAAGTTAAATTTATATATTATGCAAAATGAATGTTCAATCTATCAATAATATGAAATCTTAGATTTGTTCTGCACATTTATAGATATAACATATTCTTCTACATGCCTGAAAAGCCTTATACATAAAGCACGACCAAATATGGTATGCCTTTTTATAGGATTCTTGTCTTGAGGCGTAAGGAATTTTATAGCACTTTTCGTTTCCTGGTATCTTAGGAAAATATATAACAACTATTGAAAAACATATAGTGTCTTTCTTAGGGAAGAGTAACAATATCTCAAAATTATTACTTTTTTTGCTAAAGTAATAAATATTTACACTGAAAAACTAGAAAAAGTTGAGTATTTAAACTTTTCTAAAACATTTGGTAGGGCTAGGTATCTAGCTCAGTGGAAATGTTCTTATTTAATTCAAGGCCCTGGCTTCTCACCCCAGCACAAAATAAAAAACAAACACAACAAAAACAAGAAAAGTTAGTAAAGGAAATTCATTTTGTTAAAAAAAAAAATAGTTTAAGAGAATGGAAGCAGTGGGCTCACAGGCAAAGTTTTACTCCCAACTCTTGCTCAAAAATGAAATAAATGTTCCCAGTGATATTAGCCCTCTGTAGTAGTAGTAGATAGAGCAAAAAACAAAAACCTTTTCATTTAATTTTTTATTTTTTTACAGACATGTTCAAATCAAGCTATGATGGTCTAAGCAAAACAACTCCATCAAACATCTCACTAGCCACTCTCTTGGGAACATAGAGCTTTAGGCAAGGGAAAGGGAGACTAGACATCTGTCCCCAACGGAAAAATTAACCACAGACCTGGAGTGGCTCAGACAAAAGGACCAAGAGAAAAAAAAAAGCAGTAATTGGAGAGAAGATCCTGCTTCCAACCTGTCACTGGTTTTACAAGGTACATCTATTCCTGGAGGAAAGGGAGACAGCAGCGCATAATAAAAACTGGGACACGGTGAGGCTGTGCCAGGTGTGTCTCCTGCAGGACTCGGCTCTGATGCCAGTCCTTCCAGGAATACACTCTGCCCCCTGCTCCCTGCTTGCCCAGAGACTAATCTGGATCAAGTGACCGGCCTGAGACTGGTCAGCGTCCGGAGACGCCTCACTCATTCACTCACTCACTGGTTCTGGAGCACCAAACATGCCGCAAGTAATGGGACAAAAAGTAAATAAAGCATAGTGCCACTTACTATACAGCATTTGTTTGCACTGATACTGGCTTTCAGTTTCTCCCACAAACCTGCTTCTAGGAAGAGGTCCTACTTCGTTTTTGCGTGCTCCTGGTCTAGCACAGTTCCACTGCAGATGAGGTGCTCAATGGACAAAAGAATGACAGCTCTATGGGGCAGGGTGGGGGCTTAGGGACCAGCAGATACGCTGAGAATGGGAAAGGCATCTTGGAGTCCTAAGGCAATCCACAGCTTTCCTGCGTGGCTGCTCGCCCCGAAAAGAGAGTACCGATCCCTAATGGGAGTGGGAAGGTCTTCGTCCTCCCCGCGAGCAGGAGGTGGGGATGGAGGAGCCGCGAACGGGCCCCGCTGTGCGCACCAGCCCGCCCGCCCACGCGCCTCACCAGGTCAATGGCCACGATGTCCCGCAGCGCCACGACCCGCCGGATGGACTTGGGCGGGTTGTCGGCCAGGTAGATGAGCTGGTCACTGAGCACCACGTACTTGCAGGCGTGCTTCTCCGAGTGTGACACCACGACGCACGGCTCGTAGGCGCGGATGGCGTCGTAGTCCTCGGGTGGCAGCTGCCGCCTCAAGAACGTGTCCAGGCGGCTATTGGTGCGCGTGGGGAAGCCGGACTGCGCGGGACTGGCCATCGGCGCTGGGGACCGTGCGGGGACCGCGAGCGCCTTCCCCGCCGCCCGCGGTGGCACCGGCGCGCCACAGGAGGCGCACTCGCGAGCGAGCGCACGGAGGAGCCGCGCCCCCTGCTGCTGAGACCGGCTGGCGGGTTCCTTCCCAGGCGGCCTCCCGCTCGGTCCCAGCCGGGGACAGCGCTGGGCGGGGCCGGGCGGGGCGCTCTCCGGTCCTTCTCACCTCCCAGCGCTGGGGGGCCTCCCCCACCTCCGCTAACGCTGACCCTGAGTCCCGCACAAACTACTCAGGAAGGAAGCTGTGACCAGCTGCCCTGTTAGAGACGTGAAAGACGGGATGGACCCGCTTATGGTTTAAAACCGCAGTAGGCGACAGACTTGAACACTTTTAGAACTCTCTGATTTTGTCTTGATTGTAAACTAAATCTTTCCCTAGTCGAAAACTGACGCAGAGGATTCTTATACATTGTTTGGGCACAAGACAAGCCGACTTACGTGATAAATGCTTGTGTTCCCAACGCCCAGGATAATTTGAGATCAATGCACGGTGTAGATTGCATCTTGGAAAGGTAAATTCAAGGCCAGCCGGAGGAACTCACTACATATAGTGTAGGAACTCACTACATATAGTGAGTTCAAGGCTAGTCTGAGTTACATACAGAGACCCTGACTCAAAAGGAAAAAAAAAAAAAGAAAGAAAGAAAGAAAAGAAAAGAAAAAGTAAAGCTCATAGGTTGAAAAAAAACCCCTAATGTACATAGTCCTCAAAATGCAGACTAGTTTTATAGGGGAGGAACAACTTTATAAATTAGGTTAAATAGGGAAGGACACAAAAACATGTCCTAAGTGAGCACTCCTTCCCCATTCACTCAAAAACCCGATAGGGAAAACCATATTTCTACTTCAGCTACTAGCAACCTTGAATCAAATCTGATGTTTTAAAGGGTAATTTATACTCTTTCTTCGTATTTCTTTTTATTGTATACTATATTTTGTAAGCAATTTCAGATCCTTTGTGGAAAGAGGTTTAAACGTATTGCAATGCAAAAACAGATGTTGGTGGCTACATTTCTACAAAAAGGGAAGAAAAATGTCTGACCCTGGCTAAGCAGTAAGATACTTCTGAAGGACGGACAGCAAAAAAAATAATAATAATAATAACCTTTGTGTCTTTGCTTAGAGACTGTATTTAGTAAGAGTAAGAGAGAGGTGCCACCTGCTGGCAAAAGCTTAAATGGCCTTCCTTGCATTTGGAGTTTTGAATGTGGTCATATAGGTCTTATCCTTTATACCTAGACAAACTATGAGTGCACCATCCATTATAAGCTTTATTGATAAGCTTATGGCTATTTTCTCTAAAATATAAACTAAACCTGATCTACAACAACTCGAGGTGCTGCTTTAAACAACATGGTGAAGGCCCTTCCCGTATGCCCAGTAGCCATCTCTCATAAAAGCAGCTGAGAGGCAAATGGCAAGAGGCCCCAGTGGGAGGAAAGGCCTCACTCCGGGCCACTGTTTTCTTAGGCTTCTTGCTTCATATCCACTTCTCAGGACTAAGAGAAACATAATAACTGGACCAGAACCAGAAGACAGCGTATCTCATCTATCGCCAAGAAGCCTGTCACAAGTAAGCCAGTCTCTAGTGACAAAGGCACTAATCTTGCCAGTCTTAGAGAAACACACCGAGACAAGAACATGACACAGGTACATGTACTTAAAGTGCCCTTAGTTGAACCTTTTGTGGCACAGAAAGAAGGCAGTACCATGGTTTCCAGCTACCCAGTGTTCTTCTGTTGCCAAGGCAACAGCAAAGTTCCAATTGCAGGAAAGGGGTTAAATATAGAGGAAAGATCCCTGGATTTAGAGCCAGTAGAACCAGATGAGAATGTTAACATATTGTTCTGTGAGATTTTTAATGTCATTCAAACTTTCTGAGCCCCAATTGCATCATTTGTAAAATGAAACTATTGATACTTATCCCATCTTCCTCAGGGAGTTGGTGTGAGGATCCAATGTGATGAACTATGCATTCTAGGAGCATTACAGACATATGATGTATTCGTGTTCTTTTATCTTTTGGTAAACTTTACATGGATATTTAACCCAAATGCAGCTGAGACAGGCACTTACTCCCTACATTCTAAATGTATCCAAACTCAAGAAGCATTTGGTACAGATTCCAAGCCTTCAAGCATTTAATAGATACTTTTTCTGAAAGCTACTAAAAGAAAGGGAGTGTTACTTACCTGTAATTATCAAAGTACCAAAGGGACTCTCCCTGACTTGCTCAGAATAGTGGTCTTGGGTCCACAGATGGCCAACTGAGTACAGAAGGAGAGTAAGAATGACTGAGGAGTCAGATAATGTGGACTCAAATTCCAGCTTTTTCACTCAGTATCTGAATGATCCTGGGCAAGTTTATCTATGCCTCAGTTTCCCCAGTGAGATGAGGATAACAGTACCAACTCTAAAAGTTATGATGAGCATTAATGAACCTTCAAAAGTACTTTGAGCCACGCGTAGTCGTATACACCTATAATCCCAGATGCCCAGAAGGCTGTGGCAAACACAAATTCAAGGTCATATGAGGCATGTTTGTGCATGCCTATAACTCCAGTGCTTGGGAGGCTGAGGTAGAAGGATCACTGTCCAGCCTGGGCTACAAAGTGAGCTCAGGCCAGCCTGAACCATGTAGCAAGACCCTGTTTTGACAGAACAGGACAGATCAGATCAGAACACAAGTTTAAGGCCAGCCTGGGCAACTTAGCAAGAGCCTACCTCAAAATAAAATAAAAGAAACTAGAAATGAAGTTCAGTAATACAGTATATGCCCAATGTAGATCCAATTCTCAGCACCAGGGGGTGAGAAAAATGAGAATACTTGTAATAACCACTATGCAAATGTCTTTAAAGAAGTTCAGCAAATGATTCCCTGTTATATGGTTGTTCTATTTTCTACCTATGATGTAATAATTAAAAAGTTAGTTGAATCTCTCTAAATTTAAGGGTCCAGGCAAGAATCTAACACAAACACAAACAAGAAAAGCTTTGTTATTTTTATTTTGTTTCTTGGGTACTGGTGATAGAACCCAGGGCCTTGCACATGCTAGAGAATCTAGAGAAGCACATTAGTCACTGAGCTTCACTCTAGCCCTTTAACTGTATTTTTAATGGAGAAGTGAATAGTGGATTATATCATGAGACCCCTGTAAATATTTCAAACTAGGGGTCCTTCAAGAGGCCTACAGATCTCAAATATCCCCATTGTTCCCCCTTCAAGCTAAGGACAGTATACACAGAAAGGTATTTATAACTTGGAATAGGAAAATAAAACTTGAATTTTTAAAGTTATCTGATTTAGGAATCTCTTAGTGGTTCTACTTAGTATTAATGAATACTATCCATTTAAATATCTGTAACAATTAGCAATAACATACAGAGGAGAGATGTCAGTATAATGAAATCTAGAAGAGGCAAATGGTTCAGACTTCAAATTTCTTTTGTTTACTGAATAATGCTCCAGTAACCCATTTTGTCTGTCTCAGCCTTCCTGCTACTGTACAGACATACTTCCTCTACAAGAAGGCAGTGCATGAACTATGGCTAGGAAGAACAGCACACCTGACCTAATTTCTTTCTTTTTAAACAAAAAGCTCATCATGAAGGAGCTTTTGGTGACAATGACATCAGGCTTAACAAACATTGAGATGAAACACACTAAGAAGAGACCCTGACACAGAATTCAGTGGTTATCAGCTGATAATTTTGGTTCAACTCAAAACAATTCTCAAATATTCACTGAGAAATTATTATCCACAAACAGCATCAGAGTAATAATGTCTTTAATAATTGAATAATGAGATAAATTTAGTACAAATTACACAAATTTATTACAAAACTTAAAACATACTAAGGACATAAAAAGGTTAACAAATGATGTCAAAGTAATGATCAAGCACGACTCTGAACAAGGCAATCTGGAAAGATTTAATGAGGTAGCACTCAATCAATGCTCAAAGGCAGTTATTTCTTTTTTATTTTAATATACTCAGTTTAAAATTTTATTTATTATGAAAGTAATATATGATCACTGTGGAGTATTTCTAAAAATTAAAAAAACTTACAAGAAAAAAAAAAACACCCTGAAACTGTAGTGTCTAGAGATAATCATTTCAAGTAATAAATGCATTGCTTTCCTTGAAATCCAAGAGAAGCCTCCAGGGTCTAATAAAAACAGAAAAAGTAAGGTACAAGATACAACAGACAGCTGTAACAAATCATACTATACTCAAATAGAACTGGATCTTTGAACATGAAGAAGACACAAGTGACCCAAAAGGCAATAAGATAGGTTGAAAAATTCACTGAGAGAAATAACCACAACATGAAGAAGATATATTTTGTGGAGATCATGACTTTGGTTTTAGATATTGTCTTACTCAGTTTGAGCTGCTATAACAAATTGCCACAGATGATGAGACTTAAACAACAAACATTTATTTCTCACAGTTCTGGAGATAGTAAGCCCAAGATTAGGGACTGATAGGTCTAGCATCTGATAAAGGCCTGTTTTCTGATGTGTTGTGTGACTAGTTTCTTGTGTCCTTGTATTGTGGACAGAAAACTAGTTAGCTTCCTGGTCCTTTTTTTATAAGAGGGCTAGCTAGCTCCATCCTCATGCCTGAATTACCTCCTCCAACTGGCATCACAATGGGTTTGGAATTTAAACATGTGGATTTAGGGAACATAAACAGTCTGTTATAGATATGATAGAGTTGAGGTGCTGATGAGACAGAATGGTGCCTGGGAATGTGAGTTGGTAGTAAAGACTATTGGAATCAGAAGTATAGAACCGGAAGTCGTCGTCATAGCACTGAGTGTTGAAACTGTAGAAATAATTGCTGAGGAAGCACGTGTAGGCAAAAGAAAATCAGGTGACGAAGAACACAGCCTTTAAAAGCACTTATTTAAAAAGGTGAAAGTAGGGAGGTGGTGAAGAAAATAGAGCATTAGTCAAAAAAAGTAAAAGGAACTTGGAATAACATGGGATCAGAAGTCAGCAGAGGAGGGAATTTCAAGGAGGAAAGAGTCAATAGAGAACTGAAAGAAATGAATAAATAAAAAACCTTCCCTGGGTTGGATAATTTGTAGCAATTTCAGTAGAGTGGTCTGAGAGGAGAAAACAAATTACAAACAGAAAAGATGAGTAAGCAAAGGTAATAAACAAGGCACACTAGAGACCAGAAATCACTAGCCGAGGAGTCCGGGATTCTAGGTTCTCATTTACTAACCTTGTAACTTAAGATGCAGTACTTAAAACAGCTCATCTTGTTTTCCTTACCCATAAATTTAAAATTATATTGGTCTGTCCCTACAATATTAAAGGGGAAAATATTAAGATATGAGAAGCCATGTTGTAAATCAAAAGGAAATAAACTTACAAATGTTACCTAATCATAATTATTTCAAGTACTCTGGCAATTGATAAAAGGAAGATAAGGAGCAGGAAAAAATAAAAGCTTTACTGTTATAAGAAAGGGGCTTCTGAGCACATCTATAGAAAAAAACTGTATACTAGAGTTCTCCAATGTTGTCAGTCTTGGTTTTTTTTTTTTTTTAAATTTTATTTAAGGAGAAAAAGAAAAAAAACAGAAAAAGGGTACAAGTTATACAGAATTTCAGAAAAAATAAACAGTAGGAAATCACTAGTTAATAGATTACATATTGTCATCTTAGAAATCGTTGTTCAAGTTACAAAATTAAAGCATATAAAGTGGACTTTCAAACAGTGAGACTGCAAACAGTTCTGTTCAATGATCCAACAAAACTCAGTAATATGGTTATCTATCTTATACACTTAAATATACATACAAATCAAAAGGATGGACATAATACATTCTGTAAAAACAAAAAACAAGGTGATCAACATTGGTTACCAGAAAGCCTCTTGCTATCTTAAAAAGAATTGCCTATATCATCAGTTATAATAAAATTGAACAAAACAGTAAAGAACAAAACCAATAAAACCAAAACATTGGAGACATTACAGAACTTCAAAAGAAGATAATAGTCAAACCAGAATGGGTGTCATAATGAATCTTATTGTCTTCACAGTTGTTAATGTTGTCGGTCTTAATGGACCCTCCTTTGAGAAACACTGGCTAGGGGCAGCCTTCTAAGGATGAGACTGTAGGTGTAAATCACAGCCATGCTAATTGACCTTTTTGCATTTTAGTTTCCTCATCTATAAAACTGGGATAACAGCAGTGCCTACTGCCATTCAGTTGTGAGATGTCAAACTGTCTAGTGAATAATAAATACTGAAAAAGCATTGCCATATGCAGGGACATACCCTTTTTTTTTTTTTTTGGTCTTTTTCCTTTTTATCGGTACCAGGGATCGAACTCATGACTGCCTGCTTGCAAGGCTGAGCTAAATCCCCAGCCCCAACATACCTTATTTTAAAATGGAGATGTGAGTGCTGGATGTAGCTCAGTGGTAGAATGCTTGCCTACCTTGATGAGATCCTGGGTTCAATTCTCAATATAGGGAAAAAGAAAAAGGACAGAGGCTGTGTTTAAGAACAATAAAAAAGGACATTAGTTTATTTGTGAGCATTTTGATAAGCATCTTATGTTACTCTGAAAGCAGCCAAAATATGGAATAGTCAAAATTTTTTCTAGTGCTGGGGAACCTAGGACTTCACACTTACTAGGCAAATGCTCTACTACTGAGTTACATCACCAGCCCCAAATGGTCAAATTTCATACCCTCCTCCACATCCTCTTCAGTTGGATTCCACCTTCAGTTGTTTTGAAATCAGTTGAGTTTACAAAATTTAGAGAGGTTTTTTACAATTCTAATTGTATGAACTACCATAATAGGCCAAGGTTACTGTATAAACTATAGACGCTAGATAAGCAGAAGCTTTTAACATACGAATGTTAGCATGAATACAAAATGAATTTGTAAGTGGAAAAGGGAAGGAAAGGCAGTTACTGAAGATCAGTTTCTTTAGGATGAGGTAGTGAACCTTGCTGAACATAAAAGACTTCAAGGTCTGACCAAAAGTAATATTCTGTAGTCCTTCACTGAGCATCACAGCTAATGAGTAGTTTATTGAGTTGCAACTATAGGCTAGCATTGTGCTAACACTCTGGGGATACAATAAAATAGGACAGCAATCCTAACCTGATGTTTTAAACAATTAAATTAAAAATCTGATACAAAAGTGGGTCAAGATATTTTATATGAAATCGTGTGTGTTTTGAAGATAGTGGTCAAATGTAGTTGTTGAATTGTAACACTAATTATACACTCCATCTCTCTTGTGTCTCCCCGCCTCACCCTACTGCCAGGTTTTATCTACTCTGCACTGTAGCCTGTGGCTGCTTTTAGTCTGTATTCCGTGTGTACTGAATAATCAATCAAATCTAGAGGCTGCGCGAGACAGCCTCTATGCAACATCAACAAAGTAACAACTCAGTCACCAAATAAACCAAGTATCACTAACTGCCAATGAAAAAACCTATACACAGGACTTTCTACGAACGCTCTTTCCATTGAGAAAATATTAGAATGTTTAAAGTGAATTTTGTAACATGTCAGCACTCATCAGATCTTTAAACTCTGGTATCCAGGCCACACAGAATCTTAGAAAGGACTTAAACGGACACGTGGTTTGAACTGAGTCATTCCCATCGCGAGCACTCACTACCCGAACGCATCAGCTCTCAGCCTTCCTGAAAGGCCGGGAGAAAGCCTGACCCGGAGTCCCCAGCTCCGCGCAGACTCCACCCAGATCTCGTTTGCTCTGTGGCTCTGGAGTCCAGAGGAGCAAGCCGCTGGATGCCCCATCCCGGCATGCACCGCAGGCCCCGGCGACCACGCCCCGCGAGGAGCTCCTGGCAGCGCGTGGGCACCCCGCCGCCCGGAAGCCGCTGCACGTTGCATGCTGGGAGTTGTAGGCCCCGGCCCCGGCCCGCGGGCTGCCGTCCCACTCTCCATGAGGCTGCTGGCGCTGGCCCGCGCGGCACCGACGCGGGGAGCGCGCTTCGCGCTGACTCAGCGGCGACGGTGGCGGCGGCGTGAGCCGGCCCTCGCGCTCTTTCCCTTCCTGGGGCGCCGACCCCGCCCGCCTGCTTGCTAGCCTGCCTGCTCGGCGCCACGCAGGAGAAGCGCAGGGGACGCGGAGCGGCGAGAGGCGCGCGGCCACAGCCCGCTCGGTCTCCGGCGTTAGCGCGGCGGCCGTGGCGGAGGACTACGGCGACAAGGACGAGGGCCGAGCTCCCCGCTCTTGCCCGTGGCGCTGCTCCCCTCGGCTGACCGGCCCCCGGGTGTGCAGGCGGGGAGGACAGATGGAGTGATAGGGAAGGTGACTGGAGGCTCGGGGGCGGCGGGACCTGGACCCTGCGCGGTCTGCGCGAGGCTTCGAGGAAGTTGGCCGGGGCGGACCGGCGGGGGGAGCCCCGACGCCGGGCACGGGTGCGGATCGGGACCCTCCATGGCGGGGAGCCCCGGGGCTGGCGGGCCGAGGGGGTGGGTGGGTCGCGGAGCGCGTCCCGAGTGCGTGGCCGCCAGTTGCTGGGTGTTTCATCACTCGACTTGCCACGAGGCTTCTTTAAGAAGGCATCCGGGGGAAGATGGGGGGCGAGGCCGCAGAGAAAGGTAGTCACGCCTGTGCCAGCCACATACCCACGCCCACGTGTGATAGTTGTAGCGTGCGTCCCACTCGTTTCAACTGTAGAGACCTCAAACTTGATGCACCCCCTGACCCGGGACAAAAAGGAAAAAAATTATTTCTGTGCACTAATTTGCCAGCATTGACACTCCATTTCTTCCCTTCCTACAACCCTGCAGGAGTTGAGAACCATGATGTGTCTCTAACCAGAAAAACGAGTACTTTATGAAAGCGCTAATTACTTTTTACAGGGGCAGATTACATTTATTAAAGAGCCTTGGCAGCGTTGATGTTAAAAGGTTGGAAAGATTGAGTCCTAGTCTTTGAAACAATCTTCAGTAGGTGTAGAGGAATTTTCCAAATTGATTCTTGACCTAATGGCTGGGTGGAAAAGTTAAGGCTTACCCTTATGTTACTTCCCCTTCCCTTTTGCAATATGTGTAACTGAAAAGTTTACCATATTGTAACAAATGTGTAAGCCTACACAAGTTATGTCGACTAGAATACTTTGTTCATGCCCAATCTTTTACTGGATAGGTTGCTACCTTTTTACCCTGGTGTAACTTTTCAGTCCTTCCAGCACAGTTAGGTAATTTACCATAATATTGCACTGCATATTGACTATCTAAATGCTTTCTCTGAGAGATTCCTTCTTTGGCCATATTTTTGCACAGGACCAGTTGTTTCTTTGTTTGATCGAATCAGAGTAACCTGATAATGCTTCAGTAGTTTTCCATAAAGTGGCAAATTGAAGTTTTTATTAGATTCCTAAATCAGGGATTCATAGAAACTGGAATTCTTTTTTCCCTTTGTGGGTATTTTTTAAGGGAATGGTAATCAATGTTTTCCCTTGTGGCCCAAGAAAAGGAAAACATTTTTGTTTTCTCATGTGTTGAAAATTAGTTTAAGAATGGTTCAAATAGTTCCTATCTGCTGTGTGCCTGCCTCTGAATTAATAACCTCTTGAGAGTCTACAGTGTTACCCAGGCATGCTAACGTTATGAGGTGTAGTCTTTTTTCCCCTTTCATAGAAAGGGCTCTCCTTAAATTGCCTATGTGACCCCAATTTTTTTAAAGAAATGACCAGATTGGAATATTAACCCAGGTTTTTGTAACTTTAAAACCTGTGTTCTTCATCTTAAAGACCTAGTGATGAATATTCCAAACAGCCCTTGCTCTTTAACGTTGAGGAAAGAAAGCTTAGTTAACTGATAGGGACAACACAGGAGTGTTAAAGAGATTTATCTATAACCGTGTAATCTGGTGGGGCCGGCTTGGACAATAGGTATCAAGGAAGTATTCTTGAAAGAGATGATTTCTAAGTTGAATTTTGAAGGAGAAGTGGGGCTTCACCACGTTTATTGAAAAGAACAGTGTGTGCAAACATGAAAGACAGGGTACCACTGGAGAACTGCCATGTGGTGCAGTATTGCTGGCCTTCCTGAGTTAAGATGCAAAATGGTGAGGAGTTATTCAGAAGTGTTTGGGCCTTAATCTTGAGAGCACTGGGGAGTTAACATGCCTCATGGTAGTGTGAAGGTATGTTGTGCTTTTCCAAGGCTCTCAGCCCACTTCAGAGGGCCTGGGAAGACAAAAAAGTGTGAGTCCTGTCGTGGATCTGATGGTAGGTAGCCTCACTGTTCCTAAAAGGCTGTACCCCTTTTGGCCAGTTAGTCTCTTAGCCACTTTAGGTTCTAATTTTAAAAACAAAAAGCCCCACTTATTATGGGACTAGTAAACCTTAGTCTCTGCCACACAGGCCTTGAGAGAATGTGATTTACATATCGTTTAGCAATTGTTTTGTTTGCTGAAGTAAATTCCTCAGAAACTAAGCTGCCTTATGTTCTGATTTAAGAATGTTAGATTTTATATTGTAAATAAGTGAGGTACTATCCACAGGTTTTTACTGTGAATTTGTGGATTACTTTTCATAGAGTCTTTAAAAATTCTTAGAATAATCTGTATTAATCACCTGAGAATTTTTGTCTATTATTATTTTTCTTGGAAATAGATTTCTAGAAATGGTTGGTAAAAATAGACATCAGAAAAAAGCAGAAGTCTGTTGTTCAAAAGCTAAATGAGGGCTGGGATTTTAGCTCAGTGGCATAAGTGCCTGCCTGGCAAGCGTGAGGTTGTGAGTTCAATCCCCAGTACCAAAAGAAGAAAAAAAAGCTAAATGATGGATTTTTCATTCAACGTCTGTCTTGTACTTTGCAAACATTCCAATAAGAACACTAAACTGATGTTAGCTATTACGTTTTTTAAAGGTTTGTGTTATTGGTATTGGGAAGCAGGGAAATTAATTGTAACAAGATAATCTAGATTTGTCATTTTAACCTCGTTCAGTTGTATAGTTGCACTTGTAAGTACTGGAAATAATAACAACACTGAGAACATTAGATGCTTCTGCTGTTTAAAGAAGGACATAATTGTGTTTTCTACTTTATTAAAGATTTTGAGAACTACAGTAACTTGAGAGCATTAGTGGGATACTTCAGTTTTTTAAAAAATTACACATTAGTGAGTGTATTTAGCAGACCCTATTCTGAAACAGGTTCCTTTGGTAGTAATTTGAGTGACTTTAAAAAGATTCAAACTCTCAAGCATCATTTTACATCTTTATTCACTAATTATGGCATTCTAGATAAGCATCTGTTTTGTTTATTGTTTTCTTTCACCTTTGATTTTTGTGTGCAGATGTTTGTGGATTCTGTGGGATCAGAGGGCACGCCTATTGTAATCAGAAAACTCCAAGTATAACAACAGGAATGGATGAACAGGCTCTTTTAGGGCTAAATCCAAATGCTGATTCAGACTTTAGACAAAGGGTAAGTTAGTCTGTTTAAGCATTTCCTAAAGCATGCTACCATGAATACACATTAGAGGACTAAAAAATTATTTCTGATGATAATTTGGGTGAAAATGAATGGACAAATTGAGGTAAGTATATTCTGAATGCAGGAACCGTGAGTTGTTTATTTTTTATTTAATTTACTGAACAAAAGTATGGAAATCTTGTGATTCAAGACAGATCTTTGTGCAATATCTGTCTTTATTTCAGTTGTTCAAAAGTTGTAACACAGAGGATTGTTCAAGGGACTTTCTGTAGTAGCACATGTGCATATTTAAGTTGTTTGGCCTGGTCTGTACAAGTTGTTTAACTCTTGTGTTACAGCGATATTTAACATCCATGTTATTTAGTCCAGGCTGACATGTAAATAAGTTGTTATTATATGCCATGTCTTAATTTTCATAAAATGAGTACATGACAGATACACTAGGAGGTGCTAGGATATTTGGATAGACATAAACAATTAAACATAATGTAGCCAACAACTATAATCATGACTATAGTTGAATGAAACAAGAATCTAAAAAACAAGCCTGTAATTAATTTTTAAAGACATGTGGGTGTTTTGAAGTACAGGATATAAGGAAGGAAAGGAATTTTTCTGTTTTTTATTTCTCGTGACAAACAATAGTTTTTATAAAAGAGGTGACTGAGATTAACAATCCCACTAAATTTTATAGCCATTTTTTTCTTCCTTTAAGCAGAGTTTTTACTGTAGTGAAAAAAAAAGAAAAAAATTTGATGTAGTTTCTAACATAGTACATGCTTCTCCTGTTAAATAAGTAACTAGCTCTCCAAGTAGGATAGCAGATAATGAAATTTGATAGTTTGCCAAAATTCACATCATCATGTAGTTGTATTTAATCTCCTTTTTAGGGATTTTACATGATGTAATTGAAATACTTTCCTGTGTAATAGTAAATGAATGAATACACAATATGGTTTATCTTTTGTAATCACTTTTTAGTAGCTGACTTGCCATTAAATAAGAAAAACACCCATCATAGATACTTTTATAGTATGTGTATGTGTGTGTGTGTGTATATATGTATGTATATATGTATATATATATAGAGAGAGAGAGAATTTGATAAAATACTTGCTTAGCTTTTTTAATAAACCAGTGATGTATGTAGCATGTTATTATGTTACCTCCTTTGCTATAAGGAAACAGATTTTAATATCTAACTGATGGACTTTGTCTTTTGTTTAATTTTTTTGGCTAGCACATACTCAGAATCTGGAATTAAGTGTGTTAGCCATCTTTCTATTAAATTCATTAAATTGGTTTGCTATTACCAAATCTTTGTTTAGTATTAATAGAGCTTTGAGATTAACTATTCTAAATGCTTTTCCTTGTTTTGCAATCTTAACAGGCCCTGGCCTATTTTGAGCAATTGAAGATTTCCCCAGATGCTTGGCAGGTGTGTGCAGAAGCTCTAGCCCAGAGGACATACAGGTATTTAAAATGAAATTTTTATAACATGTAAAAGAATTGTAAGTTTCTGTGAATATGGCAGGACTGTTAAATTTACCTGTTTTTGGAAAGCATTCCCAGAAAAGCATTTTGTGACTTGTCCTTTACCTTAATGTGTAGTCATTTACTATAGAATTGACAGAGTTGACATTTCAGTAAAACTGTCCTTTGCTTACGTGTGTAAATAAGTAAGCGTTCAGTTACCATTCTTTTGCTGTTGGACAGATGTCTTGTCATTAGCATTCACTTCATTCTTGCTGACCACACCCATAAGCCATCCTCTTGTTTCTGGTATGAATGTCTAGTGGAGTAAGGAACAATGAATGCAGATTTGTAGACATTTGCTCCCAGCTCTTAAGTCTGATTATTTCACCCACATCAAATCTGCACAAGATTTTTCCCCCTGCAGTGTGGCTTTCTATAAAGTCATTCTAAAGCAATCAGTTTAATTCTACAGAAATAGAAACTTGTCATTTCATTTCATTATTTATAAAGTAACTTAAAAAAATAAAACTGGCATGATTTTATCACAATTAACTGCCATGAAAATCGCAATTGACTAGGTAGCAGTAAACACAACTCAGTGCTGGGAGCAGAAGTGCATAGCCTCCTGGCTGCAGTTGATGGGAGACTATATGACTCATTTCTGTTCAATAGCTGGAACTTACTGCTTGAATGTAGTGAAAGTTGGTTTCAGGAACATCTGGGTCTTACAGATGATGTTTAAAAGGCTTCCTTAGTTTATTTCTTGAGTAAAATATCTGAAAAAATTTTATACTTATTTTTTTTTTTGGTGGTAGTATACACTGGATCCAGGAACTCATTTATGCTGGGCAAGTGCCCTATCACTGAGCTCGATCCCTAGCCTCCCTTACTGATTTGAGAGAGGATCTTGCTAAGTTGCTCAAGTTCATGTAAAACATGTGATCCTCTTGCCTCAGCCTCCCTGGTAGCTGGTTTTATAGATGTGTACCACCATGTTTGACTGAAAATCTGTAATTTTCTTAAAGCTGAAAGATAATTCATAATAAAGACAGAAACATAAAATCTGAAAGGGATGCTAATTAAATGTTAATTTTATTTATATTGCATGAAATTATTTTATTAGGTCAATTCATGTAGCCTAATTAAGAAGAAATCTCTGTTCTTATTTGGACCTCTTAATTTAAGTTTTAGGAAAATTGTTCTATGACTAAATCTGACTTAAGCCAATTACCTTAAATAAGCAGATTGTTAGACCCTAAAGGAACTTTGTCAGAGTTTATACCTGGCTCCCTATGTCACCACTAGAGAGAAGATGGAGAGTGGCTAATTAGTGGTTATTATCATATAAGAGTAATATGCAGTTTCATTTCCTATATGAACTTAGAGATGAGATTAATAGTTTGTGTTTATTTTGGATTTGGCTGCAGTACATCTAAGGTTGAATTTTCAATAGGACTTGGATGACCATCTTTGGTTTGACTCAGTTTCTTGCTGTTACTTCGTTTGTCATTTTGTACCCAACCTTTCTTTTGTAAAAAGTACAAAGTGTTTCAGGAGTCTTAACATTAGAATTCAGGAAGAATGCCTTTGGTTTACAAAGCACTGTGTTTAAGTACATCTTAAATGTTTTGGTTATTTTGTTTGCCAAGGTCAATGAATATATTGTATGACATATATACAGACTTAGAAGTCTGTTAGTTCTTTATAAGCAAATGGATTTCAGTGTTACAGAATGAGACTGGTAAGTGGAAATCAAATCCAAAGGTCCAGTTTGGGAAACTTCTGATACTTATTTTTGCTCTTATTATTCCTAGTTCATATTGTGATTATCTAATTTTCTTTTTTGTTTTTTTTTTTTCAGTGATGATCACATAAAGTTTTTCTGCTTTCAAGTATTAGAACATCAAGTTAAATACAAGTAAGGCTTTCCTTAAAGCTTTGACTCAGAGATTTGTGGGGCGAAACTTATTTTTCATTTTTTTCTTTTGCTTTGTTTTGTTTTTTTCTTGAGGAACTCATAATAGAGGTTGTAAATCTGCAGTGCATAGGTTAGATCCAGTGTATAGATGGATTTCATTTATCCCAAACTGAGTTAGTTGGTTACATATAAAATTATATACATTAAAAATCTAGATGTCCAACTTCTCTGGGAAAGCCAGAAGCTGTAACAACAGTAGGTCTGTTTTCTTTGTGACAGCTCTCTGATGATTGAGTGGCAACACATTTTACTCAGGATCCCTACTTTAAGGAAAAGCAAAAACTTGTTAAGTGATTCATTCTGTAGACCACAAACCTCAGAACATGGGTATTTTTCTGTTTTAAAATTTGTAGCTGTCATTTGTTTTATCATGAAGTGAGCTGCAAATCGAAGATTGATAATGATGTCCTGTAGCCACTCTCATCCTTGTCTTTTCATTACAGCAGTGTTGAGAGGCATTTGTAATTTAACTTAGGAAACTTGATATAACTGAGTGCTGTATAAACTTTCCTTTCTACTATATGAGACTGTTCCTTTTCAAAACCACAGACACCGAATACAGCCACTATTTTTTCTGCTTTATTTTGAACAGATATTCAGAACTAACCACTGTTCAACAACAACTAATTAGGGAGACACTCATATCTTGGCTTCAAGCTCAGGTAAAATAGTTAATTTCATTCAGTGCCTCAAATGATTACATATATTAAAAGTACCTGCTTTTGAAGATCATGGGTAGAAGGAAATTCAGTAATACTTTAAATTATGTCAATAACTGAAATTTAGTTCCATGATTTTGTGGAAACCTGGGTTTAAAAAAAAATAATTCATTAGTATTTTTTATTTCTTGGCAAAAGCTGGTTTTCTACTTAGCTTTTAAAGGTGAGCCCTCCTGGACAGCTTTAAAGGGACCCTTTTCAAAAGGCCAGTAGAGTTCTTTACTCATAACATGTACTATTTGTTTAAGTGTAGCTAATCAACATGTGTATCATTTTTTAACTAGGGTTTTTTATTTCCCTTGAAGAGTAAGCAAACAGAAAAATTTGAGGATTTTTTTTTTTTTCCTTCTTAGAGGAAATTATACAGATGACTAAAATTTTGTGCCTGAAACTTTTCTCAAAGTTGTAAAAATACGTATTGATTAGAACCATAATTTGATTGTTGTTCACAATTTTGTTATACTCTAATCTGGACCATGTGGAAGTTTGGTGAGGTTCTACCTACTAACAATATGTAGGAAAACTGATTTTTAGTCTTTTCAATTCGAAAGTGATTACATGGACTTTTTCTGTTTGTCAGATGCTGAGTCTCCAAGCAGAGAAGACCTTTATACGCAACAAAGCAGCCCAAGTCTTCGCCTTGCTTTTTGTTACAGAATATCTCACTAAATGGCCCAAGTTTTTTTTCGACATTCTCTCAGTAGTGGACCTAAATCCAAGGGGAGTGGATCTGTACCTCCGAATCCTCATGGCTATCGATTCAGAGTTGGTGGATCGTGATGTGGTTCATACATCAGAGGCAAGTAACTTCCCATTAACATTTAGTCTTTTATGGAGATTTTGTAGGAGAAAATGAGTAGGAAATCTATTTTCTTTCAGATAGTTTTAAAGATAAATATAAATTTATACAGCATTTGGAATTTTATTGAAAAAGGAACTTAAACTTGATTTCTTTTCCATATGTAGCTTGAAATTTGAGTATTATTTTTTAATGTACTCAAAATTTTTCAGCTGTGAAATACCAGGGTTGATTTTCTCCCATGAATTTGTTATGATATATAGCATTTATTCAGTACTGCTATAAAGTCCCTCAGCAAGGAAAAAGCAGTGCTTGTGAGTTGTCAGTGCTGATTACTATATTCTCAGTCATACAGCCCAGCACCTTTCTCAGTTTCTTTATTAGCCTATGTAACTTGCCTCTTTTGGTTTGGTTGGTCAATTGGGGCTAGGGAGTGTTTTAAAGATAGGGCCACTATATGGGCCAGACTGCCCTTGGACTCATATAGCCCATGGTGGCCTCAATCTTGTAGTCCTCCTGCCTCGGCCTCCTCAGTGCTGAGATTAAGGCATGTATCACTATGCCCAGCACTTTTGCCTGGTTTGTAAAGGACACAACAGAAATACTTCAAATGTATATGGTAATTTAAGATCATTGTAACTAAACTTTAAAAGATATTATACATTTAACATGCTCCCTTTGGCAGCACATACTAAAAGATACTACATATTTAAGCTACTTTCATTTCTAAATGGTATAGGTATAATATTTACCTAATATTAAGAACTACAAGGCTGGGCATGGTGGTGCACTCCTGCAATCCCAGTACTTGAGAAATTGAGGCAGGAGGATTGCTGTGAATTCAAGGCCAGCCTGGGATACGATATGAATTCAAGGCCAGTCTGAACTTCATAGTGAAAACCAGTCTTGAAAACAAAAAGAAGGAAAGAAAGAGATACCTTACTACATTCTCAAGATTTTAAAGCAATGCTTATCTTTAAACTTTGTATTTGGTAAGAAATTAAGTCTGGAGCAGAGGAGTAGAACGGAAAGAGGAAGTAAAAAGAATCACAGGATGTGACTTTAGACCTGGTAAATAGGAAACCAAGGCAGGGAATGTGTTAACAAGTCTGGAACTTTAGTATGGAGGAAATTATGGTTTGTAACTGTATTCTGATGTCAAACTTTATAATCTATTTTGCTGTTTTTTAGGAAGCTCGTAGGAATACGCTGATAAAAGATACCATGAGGGAACAGTGCATTCCAAATTTGGTGGAATCATGGTACCAAATCTTACAAAATTATCAGTATACTAATTCAGAAGTGACATGTCAGTGCCTTGAAGTAGTTGGGGCTTATGTCTCTTGGATAGACTTATCCCTTATAGCCAATGATAGGTATGTATGCCTATGATCTTTAATACAGGTGTGAAAAGTGTAGTGTCTAAGACAAGTTTGAAAATGCTGAAACAGTTTTATTCCCCCATGACCAGGTTTATAAATATGCTGCTAGGTCATATGTCAATAGAAGTTCTACGGGAAGAAGCATGTGACTGTTTATTTGAAATTGTAAATAAAGGGATGGATCCTGTTGATAAAATGAAACTAGTAGAATCTTTGTGTCAAGTATTACAGACTGCCGGGTTTTTCAGTATTGACCAGGTGAGTAAATTTATGTATCATAAAGTTTTAAATATTGTTAGAACGAATGACAAGAGACAGAAAGTTAGCTATTTCTTTTTTTATTTTCTCTGAACATTGGAAATTCTCCTTGTAATTATAATAAACTACATTATCAGGAGAGCCTTACTATTATGTTGCACTTAGCTTGCATACACAGTAGGTCATGCCAGTTCCTAAACTTGAAAGTTTGAGTGGTGTGTTCAACTGTGAATTTTTGTGGTTTTTCTTTGGTTTTTGGGGGTGGGGGGTATCTGTGTGATATTAGTGAATAGTGAACCCAGGAAGCACTGAACTATAATCTCTGGTCCTTTGTAATTTTTTTTTTTTTTTTTAAGTTGAAGCAGGGTTTTCCAAAGTTGCTGAGGCTGACCTCCCAAGTTGGCCCTTCCTGCCTCAGTGTCCCAGATAGCTGGGATTGCAGGCCTGTGCAGTGTTCATATAATTTTTGCAGACTACCGTCATTGACACTGTTGGTGAATACACCACTGAGTAGCAAAGGACTATACCAAGTACATGACAGTGCATTTTGATCAAAATAAAGCCCAATAATCATAAAAATTGCATTTTTGTCATATGTTTGAATTTTACTTGTGCCTTCAAGAGTTTAGCCCCCAAAAAGTGAAGGGTACAATTTGAAGGTTTTTTTGTGAGTGTATTTTTGTGTGTTGCTAGGAATCAAACCCAGGGCTTCAGGCATGCTAGGTGAGTGCTCTGCTGTTGCACCATATCCCCAGCCCATGAAGACTTCTTAGGTCTTAGCTGTGACAGAGAATAAAGAATTTCTAAAACACCTTTGTATTAATGATACAGCTATAGCATGACTCTGTTGTTTCCCTTCCTTCCTCAGAGACCAATAGTAATATTTCATATCTTTCTACTAATGTCTTTCTTATTCCTTGGATAAAAAGAGTCTGAAAAGGTTAAGAATTACAAATCTTTTAGAACTTAACAATGATAAACAGCCCACTGCAGCACACACACCATAGGTTTAACACCACTGCTATAGGAAAACAGATTAAGGGTAATTAATAAAGAGTCATTGGTGAATGTGAATTTGAGCCCTGGCTTTAACACTGATTAAGAACTTGAGGCAGGTTTTTGCAGTAGCAGTTTTGTGTGCTCTTGGGTAGTTGAGGCCTAAATCAGTAGAATCAGAAAGGACTCTCGTAAATTGTGGCACACACTGCAATGTGGCAGCGCCTACTTTATGGGACATATTCTTGTGATAGGTGGTTACAAATTGAAGTTTGTCTTGATTGCTTATAGGAAGAAGATGTGGACTTCCTGGCCAGATTTTCTAAGCTGGTTAATGGAATGGGACAGTCATTGATAGTTAGCTGGACTAAATTAATTAAGAGTGGGGATATGAAAAATGCTCAAGAGGCACTACAAGCTATTGAAACAAAAGTGGCACTTATGTTGCAGCTGCTCATTCATGAGGATGATGACATCTCCTCTAACATAATTGGGTTTTGTTATGATTATCTTCATATTTTGAAACAGGTAAGTCCTGTTATATTCTTTTGCCCAGTAGATAATATGAAAGAACCATGAAGAATTGGAAAATATGAGGAAAATGAAAGTAAGACAATACCCATAGAATTGTGGTACTACCCAGAGATATTTTGATTACTGATGTATTCTCCTCTTGTGCTGTGTTTTGTTTTGTTTGTAGTACTGGACATTGAACCCAGGGCCTTCTCAGTAGGCTGTATCCTCATCCCTTTTTATTGTTTCATTTTGAGGCTGGAACTCAGGAATTTGCCGAGGCTGGGATTGAATTTATGAGCCTCTGTTTCCTCAACCTTCCACAATATTGAGAGCATAAGTGTGTTTCACCATACCTGGCTCTCTGTTTTGTGTTTTTAATAATACTTCTTAGCCAAAAAAGGAGAATTAAAATTCACCAGACTACCAAGCTTATTGATAGTCTTGGGATGGTTTGCTTGAGTTTTTGGTTTTTGGTGGTGGTTTTGTTTTTTGTTTTTGTTTTTTTTTTGGGGGGGGTGTTTGTTTTTTGGCTATGTAGCTCAGGCTGGCCTTAAAGTTGGAGCAATCTTCTTGCCTCAGCCTCCTGAGTAGTAGAATTACAGGCATGTGTTACCATGCCTGACTTTTTTTCATTTTGATCTTACATTTTGGTTTTTTTTGTTTGTTTGGTTTTTGGTACCGGGGATTGAATTTGTGACCTTAAGCTTACCAGGCAAGCACTTGAGCCACTGAGCTAAATCCCCAGTCCTTGAACTTATATTTATTTCTACATTTGAAATTTTGTTAAATATGATTATCAATTTCATAAAAATTATTTCTTATAAACTACTTTTCAAATTGTTTGCTCAGTTATTTCCAATAAGAATTCAAACTATAAATGATGTTAGTCACCATATCATAGCCTTGTTGCTTTTGAAAAAATTAGTTACTTCTCATTATGACATTGAGTAATCCATTTCTTATTTACATTGGGTTAATTGAATCAAAATTAATTTTTTCAAAGGAGCTTAATTTCCTTTACTGCTAATAAACATAACATGTCTGCCTGCATACATTAAGAAACTTGTGTTATCGTAGAAGGTGCGATCACTAATGGTAATTCCAATGTTATCTTTTAAATGGGTTTGTAGGCTTGCTCTACTTTGAGTAAAAGCAATAGGAAATCGCTCCTTCCCGTTGTGCGGAGCCTACTTCTTTGGTAAATACATTCTAGATATCTTCTAAAAGTCACATCTGTCAAGCCAGGTATGGTGGCGCTCACCTCTCATCCCAGCACTAGGCAGGCTGAGGCAGGAGAGTCTTTGTGAGTTAGAGACCAGCCTAGCCTGAACTGCATAGCAAGATTCTGTCTCAAAAAGATAAAAAAATATATAAATAAAATCACATCTGTCTACAGAGCTGCCTAGATGTATTTACTAGAAGTGAAATGACTAGATCTTAAGTATGTTTTATATAGATAGATGCTGCCAGACCACTCCAGAAATTTGTATGTATTTTTCAGAGGATCTTACTTGATTCAAAAATTATTCTTACAAGCAAGTATAATATCAGGAAGCCTCATAAATTATCGCTTACTTTTTTACAGCTTACGGTGCTCTCAGATCAACAAAAAGCTAATGTAGAGGTAATTGGCTTCTTTATACTTTAAATCTATAATAGTGTCTTAGTCTGGAATCCACCTTGAAATGTAACTTAATTTCAAATTATATGAAATTAACAGAGACTGGTTGACAAAGAGCTATTTTACTTTTAATTTTAGGCAATCATGTTGGCTGTTATGAAAAAATTGACTTATGATGAAGAATATAATTTTGAAAATGAGGTAAGAATTTTATTGTTTGTTTATATCAAATTAATGTTTCAAGTTTTTGTTGTTTGGGGGCCCTTTAAAACAAGAAGTAGTATTTGAAAAATCAGTCTTGTTTATATTGATGTTAACTTGGGTAAAATTAATAGAAGCCTCTTAGTCTGTCGTCTTTGACTTTTTCCCCCACTTATGATCATTTTTAAACACGATTAGAGCCAGGAGTGTGACACATGACTGTCCTCCCAGCATTCTGGGAGGCCGAAGCAGGAACAACATACGTTCAAGCTCAGCCTGAGTAACTGAGGAAGACTCTGTCTCAGAAAATAAAGGGGTGGAAAGGTCCTGAGTTTAATACCTTTTAAACAAAAAAACAGCTTGTAGGAATGTTGGTGTAGCTCAATGGTAGAATGCTTACCTAGCATCCACAGGATCCTGGGTTCTGTCCCAGCAGTGCCAAGGGAAAGAAGAAAAAAAAAAACAGTAAAATACTGACAATGTTATTGGTGACCACATGTCACTTTATGTTTAATAAGAATGATGATGCTGAGTCAGGAAGTATTAAGTTACCAAGTCTGGATTTAGAGAGTAGGAATGAGGCTTGTCTGGGTTTGTTTTTTTTTTTCTTTTTTTTTGGTTTTTGAGATAGGGTCTCATTTTGTAGTGTAGGCTAGCCTTGAACCCACTTATATAGCCCAGGTTGGCCTCAAACTCTTCCTGCCTCAGTTTCCTGAGTGCTGGGGTTACAGGCATGCACCACCATGCCAAGCTGTCTGGACTCATTCTAGCTCTAGAGCTGTGGGAGTCAGCTTCCTATGAAGCACGGTGCTGTCAGATGCTTCCTGGGAACTCAATTGTTGCAGGTCCTGTTTGGGTGTGAGTTAAAATACCCCATTCCCACCTCAAGCATTTGAAAGCTTTGGACTGTTTGTAAAAGATAATTATGATTATGATCAACACAGCCAGAGTTCCTAATATTTTGTGTCTCCTATCATATATTATTATTACCACTTTCTGAAATTAAAGGAGAGTAAACAAGATGCTGAAGGTCTCAGTCTGGTGTGAATCCATTCTGGTTCTACACTTTCATCCTTAACCACCCTCTTGCACTGTAGACTTTAGACTAGACTTGAGAGCGAGGGCTGTGTTGAGAAATACTAATTTCCAAACAGGAGGAAAACAGCTACTAGGTATAGTGACTTTTTATATAAATATTGATGACAAAAGTATGAACTTAATAAATGCAGAAAAGTGCAGAGCTCAACATTTATATGAATTCTTTACAAAAATTTAACAAGTATTTCACCCGTACCATAGGGTGAAGATGAAGCCATGTTTGTAGAATATAGAAAACAGCTGAAGTTACTGTTGGACAGACTTGCTCAAGTTTCACCAGAGTTACTGCTAGCTTCTGTTCGCAGAGTTTTTAGTTCTACACTTCAGTAAGTTTGTTCCTGTTTTTGTAACAAGCCTGCTTCTTTGTTTCCTAATAAAAACAGTGATTCATGTGATTAATCCATATTGCTTACTGGTGTCTCTGGAAACAATGTACTTTTTCTTTATAATTTACCCAGTCTCTTTTTGTGATATAAATTGTGTCACTTGGAAAAATTAATGAACAGTAGGACTTTTTATTTATGAAAAGCATTTGAATGTGAATTACCATCTTGTGCATCACTAGTTGTGTGAAAAATTTACATTCAGGTTTCATTGACGTGTTTGCCCCTTGGTAGGAACTGGCAGACTACACGGTTTATGGAAGTTGAAGTAGCAATAAGATTGCTGTATATGTTGGCAGAAGCTCTTCCAGTATCTCATGGTGCTCACTTCTCAGGTGATGTTTCAAAAGCTAGTGCGTTGCAGGATATGATGCGAACCGTGAGTATACTAAAGATAATTTATTTTGAAACTAATTGAACATTTTACCTATGAGTTATTGAAAGTTTCTTAACTGTTAGAGCTTTGTATTTGTTTATTTGGAACTTTTTGCTATTGTAATAAATAAGAACAGGTTTCGTTTTTTTCTTACTCAGTTGGTAACGTCAGGAGTCAGTTCCTACCAGCACACATCTGTGACATTGGAATTCTTTGAAACTGTTGTTAGATATGAAAAGTTTTTCACAGTTGAACCTCAGCACATTCCAAATGTACTAGTAAGTAAGCACTTTACTCTGCATTATTTTCCAGATAGTTCAGCTAACAACCAGAGAGTATTCTGTGTTATATTACTTTTGGAGTCAAAATTTTATCATTTAAAATAAGTCCTATTTGTGTGTAATATAAAATTACTTAGGCATTTCTGGTCTTGGCCTTGAAATAAAGGAGCCTAAAAAATAAAATGTGATGTGAATAGAAATGTGGCACAAGAGTAATTAAAAGCCTTGAGTAAGTGCAGATATAATAAAAGTGTCTCTGTTTCTTTAGATGGCTTTCTTAGATCAAAGGGGTCTACGGCATTCGAGTGCTAAAGTACGGAGCAGAACTGCTTACCTGTTCTCTAGATTTGTCAAGTCTCTAAAGTAAGTATGAAATTTCAACTATTAATGTGCAGTGTTTGTTTGTTTTGAACTATGAAGTAACTGTAAATTACTTCCCAAGAGCCTGGTATAAATTTGATTCTTCCTGTTCTAAGGCATGCTTCCCTAGGTATATTTTTCTTTTTTCTTTTCGAGACAGGATCTCGCTATGCATTTCAGGCTGGCCTTGAACTGACTATATAGTCTAGGCTGGCCTCAAACTCGTGACAGTCCTCTTGCCTTGGCCTTCCAAGTGCTGGGATTATAAGCATGCACCACCTTGCCAGGCTGTGTCTTTATGTTTTGACATATGTTCCTGCTCATTAGTCAAGTACTTTGGTCAGCACAACAGGTAAAACCCAGGGCTTCATACATAGTAAGTGCATGAAGTGCACTTCAGCTGCTGCTGCACATGTCCAATAGATGATACTGTCATCACTTGTGGCATTTGCTAGTTACATAACAACAGATCACTGTATGATTTCTTTGAAATTCTTGAAAATAGTCCTTGAAAATGCATTTTAAATCTGTTTTATAGTATTCTATACTGTTTTATAGTACTATTTTCTGGTATGAAAATAACTATAAGATTATAAGTTGTCTTGACAGTCTATCACTACAGAGCAGATAGAGGTAATTTTTAAAATTAATCATAGTAAGACTGAATTAAGTAAGACTGATTAAGAATCATGGTTAGCACAGGGTTGAACATTCTTTTAGTTCTGTCTTAAAAAAGGATTTGGTATTTTAGCAGTTTTTTTGATTTGTTTGTTATTTACTTAATCATTTTCCTTTTTGCCTGTATTCAGTAAACAAATGAATCCTTTCATTGAAGATATTTTGAATAGAATACAAGATTTATTGGCCCTTTCTCCACCAGTAAGTATCTGTCTTTTACTCATATATTGAGGTCACAAATATAAGCTTTTGTCTTTGTATACTTTCTGTTATTTTTAACTTGCAGTGGAGAAAGGTGTGTGTATAAAATTTACTTGGTTCTGTTTACCGGAATTCTTTTGCACCAGGTGTTGTGGTACATACTTGTAATCCCAGCACTCAGTAGGATGAGTAAGGATGATCCCTTTGAGTTCAAGGCCAGCCTGAACTACATAGTTAGACCCTGTCTCCAAAAAAAAAAAAAAAAATTCCTTTGCTATGTATAATAGCAAAGTATAATAATGTATAAAGTATAATAATGGAGAATCTAAAGAATCTAAAGTATAATAATGGAGAAGAATCAAGAGTTGATTAATAAATTTGGCAGGGTTGAGAATGGTGTGCTTTCCCTGTACTATTAATTTTGGTGAAGCATTTTATAGATAGAAAAAATTTTCAACATTAAATTATTATCTACTTAATACTACTGCAGTCTTATTCTTAGCAACTGCTATTACATGGAAGTTTCTCTGTGTGTCTTCAGGCTTAGGTTAATAATATTTACATGCTGGTGGGTGTCCATTTCACTGGAAAGATGTGAGATATTCCTAAGTACATTTTGACTTACACATTTTTGTGTAAAGCTACCTACTGTCAATTAATGAAAGTGATTCTTAGAGTTGTGATTTGAGAATGTTAAATGCAAAGTCATACTTTTGTTTTTTTAAGTAAATATCACAATTCAGGTTGGAAAGGTTTGTAACATCACTGCATAAAAGATTATTTATTAGTGAATTATGTGCTTATTTAGTTCTACCTAAACCTGTTTTAAAGTAAATCACCTACTTCATGCTGGTTTTGCTTGGCAGTTTATGCTGACCCATGAGACACTGGCATTCAAGAAGCTGTTATCTTATATATATTGCAAATTTTCTATGTGAATTTTCATTTGAACTGTAATCCTTCTTCACTGCATGAAAGCAGCTGATTCACATTGCTTTCTTAAATATTGACCACTTTTAGATTGCCTTATATTTGTAGAGTGACAAGTCCTACCAGGTACTTAATAAGTGTTAATTACTTTTCAGCAAGGATATTTTAAGTGATGGAGAATTTTTTATAACAAACTACTATTTATCTGTTTTGAGATTAGGTTTTTATATATGAGTGTGTGTGTGTGTGTGTGCATGCACATGCATATGTATGTGTTTTTTCTGGGGATTGAATCCAGGGCCTTTGGCACTGTTACATCCATAGCCCTTTTTATTTTGTATTTTGAGACAGGGTTTCACTGAGTTCCCCAGGCAGACACAAACCTACAGTCCTCCTGCCTCAGCCCAAAATGCTGGAATTACAGGCTCACACCATTGTGCCCAACTACAGTGTCTTAATAGAGAATTTTAATGTTACACCTAGAGTGGCCTTTTAATTTGAAACTCTTAATCTCTGAGTGTGTTAGTGTCAATATTAACAAAATCTGATAATAATAAAATTTTAGCAGCAAATGGTATGTTTGCCTGTTTATGAATGAGATCTGGGTTTTTTTGTTTTTTTAATTTATAGTCTTGTTTTTCATCATGTTCTAAAGTAACTGATATTATATACTTGTGTATGTGTATATATTGGGTGAGCTTTGAACACTTAAAAATAGTTTGTGATGGCTTTTGTACCAACAAAACATTTTTATATAATACCTCATTTAACCTTGTAACAGTCTTACAAATAAGATTTTTACAAAAGGACATAAGTAAAAGGGCTAATGGTTATTTATATATAAGATTTGCAAAGACTTACCAAAGCTAGTATTTTTTTCAGTGCAGGGGATTGAATACAAAGCACCCATCCACTGCCAAGCTATATACTCCTAGTCCAAGACTACAATTAATTAAAACAGTTTCTTTTCTGTTACATGGTTGACATGGTTGTGGGAGAAAGTTTGTAAGAACTTGATCTGTGAATCGATGCAGTACATTAAATCTCCTGTTCCTAATCCATTCATGATTAAGAGAAACTAAACAAGAGTTTTATTCTAGGAGAATGGATACCAGTCTTTATTGAGCAGCGATGATCAACTATTTATTTATGAGACAGCTGGAGTACTTATTGTTAATAGTGAATACCCAGCAGATAGGAAACAAGCATTAATGAGGAATCTGTTGACTCCACTAATGGAAAAGTTTAAAATTCTATTAGAAAAATTGATGTTGGCACAAGATGAAGAAAGGCAGGCATCTTTGGCAGACTGTCTGAATCATGCTGTTGGATTTGCCAGGTGAGCATGAGTGTAATTCAAATCATAAAGTGTATGTATCTGCATAGATTTTCTTCCTTGTATCTTAGAATAGACACAGATCTGTTTCCAAAAGCTGGATTATTTGGAAGATGTCTAGACCTTTCTCTTCTAAGTCTAGTAAGTTAAAAAAAAATTAGCTAAAGAAAGTAATAGATCATATACTATTCTACATTTTTCTTTAGATCACTGGCTAATTCTTTAACCTCTCCTTTGGCTTCTTTAGTACAAACTGATTATGTTATATACTAAGCAGTATGGGGGCTTGTTAGGTTGGTCTTGGTACCTTAAAGAGAAGGTCTTAAGCCTTATCTTTAACTGTTGCATTGGGTCTGGAAAGCCACCAAAACAGCTGTTTCTTTTCACATATGCTTTTTATTGGCAAACTAATAGCATGAAAGTTGCAGTGATTGGTTACAGAGAAATTGTTCTACTGAATACATAGAGCAAGAGTTAGATCTTAGAAAGGTTATCTAAATAGATTCTGGACATTGTTTTCTAAATTTAGTGGATATTTTGCAGATTGCCCTGTATAGCTTAGGTATAGGGAATAGATTTTTTTCTTTTCTGTATACTTGATCAGGATTTTACTAAAATATTTAGGTAGACTCAGGTTGCATTAACTATCCCATTGATTTGAGTCTCTTGTTCTAGAATAATGACCAGAAGCAGTAGCTTATACATAGTCATGAAGGCTAAAGATGGAAGTAATTGTGATGAGGAAGATGATTGATTTCTTAGATCTGTGTGTCTGTATGTGACTCTGTGTGTATGCGCATTGCTTTAAAATACTCCGCAATACTCTTAAAGTAAAAGTTAACTCTAGTTGTCTGGATTTTGCTTACATAGTCGCACCAGCAAAGCTTTTAGCAACAAACAGACTGTGAAACAGTGTGGCTGTTCCGAAGTTTATCTGGACTGTTTACAGACATTCTTGCCAGCCCTCAGTTGTCCCTTACAAAAGGATGTTCTCAGAAGTGGAGTACGCACTTTCCTTCATCGAATGATTATTTGTCTAGAGGAAGAAGTTCTTCCATTTATACCTTCTGCCTCAGAACATATGCTCAAAGATTGTGAAGCAAAAGACCTACAGGAGTTCATTCCCCTTATCAACCAGATTACAGCCAAATTTAAGGTACCACAAACTTTCAGAGCTCTAAAACTCACCTAATTTAACCATCTTTTTCTGATTTTAATATTAGACATACTTATTTTCAGTCATGTCTTCATTTTGCAGATTTTTCTTAATGAGTTACTTTTATCTCCAGGTCTAGCACACTATCTGACACACAGGTCAGTCTTACTAGAATGCTTTAATAAAAACAGACTAAATAGCTGGACATGGTGTCACATGCCTGTAATCCTAACATTCATGAGGCTGAAGCACAGGATCACTTTGAGTTCAAGGCCAGCTTGAACTACATAGCAAGATGCTGTCTACAAAAGAAAAAAAAAAGCCTTATCTACTGAATATAGCAGAAGAAAATAGTCTGCTGTTTTAGAAAAATTAATAAAATAGTATTGAGGCCTGTCTAAAGAGGTAAATAAGAAGCACTAATTTATTTGCCCAAGCAACAGTTTAAAAGTAATTCAATGTATTAGTTTTACGTACAAAAATATTTGGCTGGGCATGGTAGTGTATGCCTGTAATCTGGGAAAATCACTGGGGGTTTGAGGCCAGCGTGAACTACATTGTGAGACTGCATAAAAAAATTAAGCCAGGCATAAACTAGCATTAAAAATAACTAAAACATGGGGCTGGGGATTTAGCTCAGCGGCATAAGTGCCTGCCTTGAAAGCAGGCAGTCGTGAGTTCAATTCCCAGTACCGATAAAAAGGAAAAAGACAAAAAAAAAAAAAAATTTGCTAAAACATAATACTTTCTGAGCTAAAAATCTGTTATAAACAATTTTTTTGTTTTGTTTTTTTTTTTGGTCTTTTTGAGACAGAGTCTCCCTATGCAGTTAGATCAGGCCGACCTTGAGCTCACTTTGTAGCGCAGGCTGGTCTTAAACTCACAAGAACCCTTCTGCTTCGGCCTCCTGAGTGCTGGGATTACAGACACGCACTATCATACCGGCTTTACTCTTTTGATCTTCATAATAATCCTAGGAAATAGGACATTTATAGATAAGGAAATTGAGGTACAACGAGACAAAGAAATTTTTGTAAGGGAAGGTTAAACCTCACAGTTCCGTCATATAAATTGATTTGTAGTTTGGCAATCGAATTCATTGCTTGGAAATTTAAATTTGAAATTACTCCATGGCAATATTTGTGACTATTATTTTAACCTAAATCTTAGGAAATGGATTGAACTTGATCGTGAGAGTTTCATTAATGTATGTTTTATAGATTTTGTTTTAAACTTGATGTTTTTCTAACTGAATTATGTAAATCCTAAATAGAAACTCTGAGGATACATTTTTATGTAAAAAGTTTTTCCCACGTTTTGCATTTTCTTAAGTCTGAAGTGCTAATAGTTTTTTCTTATCTTCAGATACAGGTTTCCCCATTTTTACAGCAGATGTTCATGCCTTTGCTTCGTGCAATTTTTGAGGTCCTTCTCCGACCAGCAGAAGAGAATGACCAGTCTGCTGCTTTAGAGAAGCAGATGTTGCGGAGGAGTTACTTTGCCTTCCTACAGACTGTCACAGGCAGTGGAATGAGTGAAGTTATAGCAAATCAAGGTGAGGTGCACGCCATGCATAGGTTCTCTGCTTAAATCTTTTTCATATTTGTACATCTATTTGGGCAAGGATGAATTGGAGTAAATGCTAAACAATTGGATGTTGAGCTCCAGGAAAGCAGTTTGTTATATTTTTCTTATAGAAATCAGTTACTTACATTCTTAATACCTTAAAATAAATTTTAATTTAGTTTCCCTTTTCCTAAGTTAGTATTCCTTTTTTTAGTAATAGTGTAGTGATTACTTGCCAGAGTTGATGAGACAGTTTAGTCTTGCTGGTCAATTGCATTTTGAAATTAAAAATAAACAATTATATAGATCAACATAGAGAATTCAGCCAGGTGTGATGGTGCATGTGTATAATCCCAGCCCTTAGGAGGCTGAAGCAGGAGGCAGGCTGAGGCAGGAGGATTGTTGCAAATTTGAAGTCAGCCTGGGCTACAAAGTAAGCTCAAGGCCAGCCTGACCTGCATAGCAAGACCCCGTACAAAAAGACAGGGTCTCAAAAAGACAACAACAACAACAATAAACCATAGAGAATTCTACTGTATAGGAAATCCTGAGGAGCACACTGTCAAGGGAGTTTTCAGGGCTTAACATTTAGAGACCCAGTTAATGTTTTTTGACGTGTTACTTTGTATGAAATGAGAGTTTCAGATTTTTAGGTTTTTTTGAAGTTAAGCTCATATTTTGTCTTCAGGTGCAGAGAATGTAGAACAAGTGTTGGTAACCATTATCCAAGGAGCAGTTGACTATCCAGATCCAATTGCACAGAAGACATGTTTTATCATCCTCTCAAAGTTGGTAGAACTCTGGGGTAAGATAATTTTTGTTTTGTTTTGTTTTATTTATTATTAGTGTTGGGGATCAAACCCAAGGCCTTATAACTGCTATTTTAAGCTACAACTTCAACCTGATAATTTTTTTAACCTTTTGTTTTCCAACCTGTTTAATAAGACTGATTTTAGAGATGAAATCGAACCCTAGCCCAAACATAAGAACTGGGAGTTTATTTTCTATGGTGGTGAATTAATTGATTTTCCCTGCATACAAGATGAAAATCTGAATTCTTTTAACAGGAGGTAAAGATGGACCAGTGGGATTTGCTGATTTTGTTTATAAGCACATCGTTCCTGCGTGTTTCCTAGCACCTTTAAAACAAACATTTGACCTGGCAGATGCACAAACAGTATTGGTAAGTGCTTCAGAATCTTTATTCGCTTTGTGTCAATCTCATATGTGCATATTTTCTTTAGTGCCAGGATGACTATATTTTGTTTCTTTCATTTGCTTTTTCTTTCTTTCAGTTCAGTGATTTTTAAATTACGACTTCATCTATTTGGGGTGCTGGGCATTAAACCCAGGGTCTACAGTGAGCTACATCTCCAGTCCTCTTACTTTAAATTAATGGTTTTCCTTAGCTATTAAGAACATTAAATGTCCACTTTCTTCTTCTATATGATAATTTCTCAGAATTTCATCTCTGGAATATTTTATGTGAAACAGTTGTTTTTTTATCAGTCCCATGCAATGAGTTATCTATTTTCTAGCAGACAGTAGGGAAATATAAAGTTGGATCAGTAATCACAAAGTGACCATATTAAAACTCTACAATTTTTTTTTCACAGGCGCTCTCTGAGTGTGCCGTGACGCTGAAAACAATTCATCTCAAACGGGTAAGGTTTGAAATCTGTGCATCTTCATTTTCATCTTGTGCCTAAGATTTGTTATGTCTTTAATTGTGTTTGACTCATCTTTTCTGAGATAATTAACTGCAGTATAAACTTTTTTGGATGTAGGAAAGGAGTTAAATAGAAATAGCAGTAGCCATTATTATTCTTGAAGTTTTGGATAACAAAAAGGTTCAGATGTATATTTGTTTTGGTTTGACAAATGATATGAAAAATCTTAACCAGAATCTCAAGATCCAGCTTCCTCATAGGTGTGTTTCTCCAGTTTCTTTCTATGACAAATGATTATAAACTTCATTACTTCAGAATGTTCCATTCTTCCTTGCGGCTGTAACAGCTTATATAAATCATAAAGTGAGCTGAAGGCCAGCTTGAACTGCATAGTGAAACTCTGTCTCAAAAAGACCAAAAAAAAAGCATCTGTTAATTTAATTTATTTTTAAATATTATTAATATCTGTTTAAAAAAAAATTTCTCTTTTACTGTTTAGGGGCCAGAATGTGTTCAATATCTTCAACAGGAATATCTGCCCTCCTTACAAGTAGCTCCAGAAATAATTCAGGTAAGAGCTGTCCTGGCAGGTTTTGTTCTGGGGGTTGAATCCAGGCCTTCCCATTGAGCTACATCGTAGCCCTTTTTTAATTTAATTAAGAAATATGAGAATATAGTTCAATCTGAATTTTGAGCAAATATGCCAGATTGCATTTGCCTTGATGTTTTGTATGTATAAAATAACAAGAGCTTTTAAGTAATGTGAAGTCCAAAGCAGGGTAACTGAAATTACATGGGTAAAAATGTATTTTTTTTATTTTCATTTACCTCTAACAGAAATTTAATTTCCTGCCATCAAATAGATGACCGATGACAGCAGTAATGTTCTCTGGGACTTTTGTCTAGTAGAAAGCACACATATTTTCATGTCACATGAGTGGTTGGAGATACTGAAATACTGTTTATAAATGTTATTGTTTTGAAATTACATGTTACTCGTAATGTGCTGTGTGTGTATATATATATTATAATCTAATAGAGAAGTCTCATTTTTACCACACCTTAAATATTTAGTACATAATTCATTAGAATTTGTTTACTTTGTAATCCTATAGTATGGTATTTTATGCATTTCAAAAACACATTCTGAAAGGAACCTGTAGGTATCTTCAGATGGCCAAAGGGGACTAGCACATAATAGAAACTCTGTTCTGAAGATTTGTGCCAAGTTTATCAATGCTTCATTTGTAAATCTTAAACTATATTCCATTTGTAAATCTTCATTTATAAATCTCAAACTATATTTTGAGATAAGTGGCTAGAACTTTTAAAGTATAATACCATTCAGTTTTCTTCTTAGGGTATGACTTTCCAAACTCTTTGTCCAATAATATACATAGCCAGTGAAGTATCAAGTATTTTTTTGTTGTGGTAGTTGCTTTTGTTTTTTACTTGGTTTTTTCTTTTTCTTTCTTTTCTTTTTTTTTTTGAGACAGGGTCTCACTATTTGGTGCAGGCTGGCCTTGAACTTGGTTATGTAGCTCAGGCTGGCCTCAAACTCATGGTGGTTGTCTTAAGGCCTCAGCCTCCCAAGTGCTGGGATTATAAGAATGCACCTCCACACCTGGCAGTTCAAACTTTTGATTAAAACTAGAATTAATAGTGTATTATATAGTCTAAAATTTATTTCTTTACCAACAAGGTTTTGATTTTTTAAATTGTGTAATACAATATTGTTAATTTAGGGACAGTATTGCACCTATACAACATTAGGCAAATCACTAGGATTTATTTTCCTTGCATAATTGAGACCTTATAAGGCCAGGTGTGGTGGTGCATGCCTGTAATCCCAGCACTTGGGAGGCTGAGGCAGAAAGACTGGTGTGAGTTCGAGGCCAGCCTAACTGCGTAGTGAAACCCTGTCTCAAAAAGATTTTAAAAAAAGAGAGAGATCTTTTGTGTCATTTTGGATAGTTTGAATATTTAGGACTGGGGATGTGTCTCATTATTGAAACATTTGTAAGGTCTTAGGTTTAACACCCAGCATCAATGAGAGGAAAAGAATGCTTTAAACAGTTTTTATAATGCTGGCTTTTAATAACAAGCATTGAAAAATAGGGTAGTTAAAAACTATTTTCATAAAAACCCTAAGATATTAATTACTCATGAACTTTGTACCCATGATAAGTAGAAATATACTAAACAGTTTATATATCTTTCCAGATTGCTAAATGATGCAACTTATAATATTTCTATTAATAATTTGATTGTAGGGTAGTATAAGGAACTTCAGTTTCCTCTTCTTAATATGCTTTATGTTCTGAAAACACTTTTTGGAGAATTGTACCAAGGAAACTGCCTTTTTGATTTTGTTCTAGCTGTGCTCACTGATCCCTTTTCCTGAATAATGGCATAAAAGTGTGGTTTTTGTACTGTCGCTTTTCTCAGGCATGAGTTCACCTTATCCAGCAGAAGCATGTTCTCAAAAGTAAAAGCAGCCTGTTTGAAAAGCATTGTATTTGAAAATGCCATATAACCTTTTGTGGTGTGGATTTTGAGGGTTTGATTTTTGATAAGCCATAATAGGAATACTGTGGATTTGAAGCATTCTTAATGTCTATTGATTGATGAATTAATAAAATAGGGCACATACATACATTATTATTACTCATTTGTATATAAAAAAGAAAATCCTGTCTGGTGTAACATAAACAAAACTTGACTACTTTATGTTAAATGAAATAAGCACAAAAGGATTTAAATATAACACAATTCCACTTTTATGAGCTATCTAAAGTGATCAGACTTTCCAAAACAGAAAGTAGAATGGTGGTTGTTGGAGTAAGCAACAGGAAACAGAAATTGTTCTAGAGGCATAGTTTCAGTTTTGCAGGATGAAAAAGGTGCCAGGTATGGTAACACACACTTGTAATCCCAAGACTCAAGAGACTCGGGCAAAAAAAATAGCCACAAATTTAAGGCCTGCCTGGGCTACATGGTGAGTTCTAGCCAGCCTGGACTACATAGGAGACCCTATATCAAAAAAAAAAAAAGATGAAAAGGCTTTAATGATCTGCTGAGCATGTAGCTAACACTACTGTAGTGTACATTTAAAAGTGGTTAACATGGATAGTAAGTTGGGGAGGTTTTGCCACAGTTAAAAAAAGAATGTTGAATATTTGAATGAATTATAGTGAATGTAATACAAACATTGATTCTCCTCTCTCTTCCTTTTCCCACTTTCTAGGAGTTTTGTCAAGCACTTCAGCAACCTGATGCTAAAGTTTTTAAAAATTATTTAAAGGTAAATATTTGGAAACTTCCTGTCTTCATACAATTAGGTATTTAAAGGCCCACAGAGAATACATAGATGCTATAGTTTGACTGTTACGTACTTTGGGCTCCCATCGTTCTAAGTCTACTTTCAAGAATCTGCAGTTACAGATGTTTCTGCAAAGCCCCTTTCAGCTAAGGTCCCACAAAAGATCACTTAAAGTTAGATATGCACACTGCATGTACACATGCCCAGAGTATATCAATATGAAAGTGCCAATTTTCTTTGAGTTTCAAGATGTAATTAAATAGGAATTAGAAGATTGGGAGAACAAGAAATGTTTAACAGTTGCCTATGTTAAGAGGAAGATGCTAAAAATATAAAAACAGAAGTATGAGTTACACGTTTGTATGCTATTTTGAAACATTTTAGTTGTGTGACAGACCAAAAGGAGAATCTTAAGATGTGGCATCAAAGCTCTTATGTCACTGAATTAAAAAACTAACCTAGTATTGGCAAGTACCAAATGTTTGTCTGGTATTTATACTTGATTAAATTAATAAGATAAACTGCATTCTCCTGGATTATCAGTCATTTCTCACTTCATGACTTCTTTTTATATACCAAGCAAGCACTGTGGTGAATGCTGTGGATACTACTATTAGTGATTTTTATCTCTCCCAAGGAACCCACTGTCTAGAAACAGAATTAGCATCACAGGACACAGAACTGGGTTAGTAATTCTAAAATTTGCCTTTGTCAGTTATTTTTCTAGTTACCATTTTTTATCATTGGGAATCTTACTCTCCCTTATTTTTCTATAAAAGCAAAGTGTCTATAGGGAAACAACCATTGCAACTTGATTGAAGGACTCAAAAGAATCCGTTAGATCAATAATAGGAAATCTAGGGACACTGTAAAAGGCTTATATTCCCAATGTATTTATTCATTTGCACAGCATTTATAAGAAGTTTTCCTCTTGGACTGGGGATTTAGCTCAGCAGCATAAGTGCCTGCCAGGCAAGTGCGAGGTTGTGAGTTTAATTCCCAGTACCACAAAAAAAAAGTCTTCCTCTTTATTCCAGCTCGTCCTCACTGATGGCATTATATTAGGGATAGTGTTGTCGCAGAGTTAGCATTGTTCTTCCAGTTGGAATAAATGTGCCCATTTCCCCCTCTAATCTCAGATCTTACTGATTCTTTCCTCATCTGGTAGGCTTACTTCATTTTTATCTCTGATCTCCCTTCATTTGTTCTAACAAGGCTGATCGACTCGAAAACATGTCATTACGAATTCATTGCTTTCCTTCACCCTCTTCCTAAACCTGCTGTTCACTAAAAACAAGTTCATCTTTTTGGTATAGCATTTAACTTTTCTTCCACATTCTGATTTCATACTGCCTTTGTTATTTCTCTTGAAGGGACTGTCTTTGCTATTATTATTCTTCAAAAATCCTGTCTTAGCCGCTGAGTTCTCTCTCCCATGGTGGTCCACCCTCATTGTTGTCGGGTGTACTTCCTTCCTTTTTTTTACTTGGCCCAAACTTGTTCTGCAGAACCTGTTTTTCTTTTGTTTCTTTCTTTCTTTCTTTTTCTCTACTTTTAATAAAACTTTGCTGTTAAAAACAAACAAAACAATCCTGCCTTATTAGCAGTTTTCCTTCATGGATTTGCCATTCTTGTATGTTTACCTTAAGCATGACCTCCTTAAAAGCCTTTCTTTTGCTCATATAGTGATTGTTCTTTTCTCAGCTTAGATTCAACTGCATATCTAATCCAGCAGATGCAAGGGATACAACAAATAGTAAATTTAGTTTGTCCTCAGCAAACTTACTGCTAGCCATTTACTATTTTTAGTCTCATGTACCTGACTGAATCGCAGTGTGTAATACTGGATCATTGCCTAGCACGGGCTATAGCCTGCTCCTTGATAGTCTCAAATACTGAATTGGAAGTACCTTTAATCATCAGTGAGTTATAATTTCTGTTCAGACTCAAACTGCTATCTTTAGCTCAGAATTTAATTTCCAGTGTTAATTTTGAAAGCAGGTCAAATCAGTGTAAAGGTGTTGAGAGCATATTTTTCTCATACTATTGGACTTCACACATTATAATAATACCGTAGTTCCAGGGGGCTGGGGATAAGGGGGCAAGGTGGCATAAGCGCCTACCTTGTAAGCGTGCAGTTGTGAGTTCAATCCCTGGTACCAAAAATAATAATAATACCATAGGTCCAATACTTTCCCAACTGAGTGATGTCATCCATTTTATATCTAGACTTTATCAAATTCTTCAGAAGAAGAATTACATGGATTCAATTATTGTATGGATTTATAAATTATGTGAAATGTTTTCTGTATCTGTTGTACATCACAGAAGAGTGACTAGCATTCAGAACTTGAAGCCATTCTTCATGTAAAAGAGGTTCAGTTTTGTGACATTTGTATTAATTGTATGAATACTTTATTTATAGGTGTTCTTCCAGAGAGCAAAGCCCTAAGGACTGGATTTCCCTATGCCTACATCATGATCAGGAATTCCAATTAATAATTTATAAAGAAATGATTTCTTGTGTGCCATTTACACTGGTCTTTTAACATTGCTTTGAGCTTTCTGTAAAATGGGTGTAATATCCCCCTAAATATAGGTATGTAACAAGAGAAGTTGCTGCATGCCAGCTCAATTATTCTATATGAAAATGCTGATAACAGCAGAGTTATCCGAATACCTTTTTTTAAATTTCGAACTCTTAAGTCCTTTGTAAAGACCATCATAGAGTGGAAAGCTACTTTTTTAAAAAAAATTGATGAGTATAAAATGTTTGAAAATTTTTCTTTTACATATGTGGACATAAAAAATATAGGAAATAAAACAATCAAAACTGATTTTTTTGTAGATAGCCATTATGTTTCCTTAAACTACTTCAATGCCATTGTGTATTCTACAGAGAAAATGGGCTCATAAATTCATTGATTTAAAAGTAGGTGCATATATTACATATTTTTTATTAAAAAAATAAATTTTATGTAGTGAAATCTATCAAGTCTTTTCTGGAATTATTACAAATACTTCAGCTTTATTTTCCCATCTTAATTGCTCTCTGATTTTCCCATTTAAAGGTTTGCAAAATCAATGTGGATGCCTTATTTCATTAGTCTCCTAAAAGGTTACGTGCAACCTAATTGTTAAATAAGTCTTTAAAATGCATTAGAAAAAAATCTGTGTGAATCTGTTGATATTAATAAACCAGTGTTTTTCCTGTTACTGGGTGAACTTAGAAGAAAATGTACCTGTGTGTTAATGATGTCTGTATATACTATAGTCAGCTATTATTTAATTACTGGAAGTATTCCCCTCTGCCTGCCCTCATTTTTATTCATGGCAAGTGAAGAAGGCAAGAGGAAAAGTAATAGTATCAGTAGTAGCATTGGAAAGAGAGATTTGGGGGGCAAAACCAAATGTAACCACAGATATTTAAGTTCATTTTAAAACTCCATGTAAAATTTTTAGGAAGGCAGACTCAGGATGTAGCTCAGTGGCAGATCCCACACATAGCATGTTCAAGGCCCTGGATACTAGCTCCAACACCAAAAGAGCAAAAAATAAAATTGGGGGGTAGGGAATTGGTTTCGTCTTACTTACTTTTGGGTTTCATGAATAGGCTTCAGTGACTTATAAGTTTCCTAAAATTATATTCTAAATAGTGCACATGAAATCTTTTTATTCCCAGAAAAGATTTTAAACGTTTTCTTTACATTATGGAATAAAGACACTAAATCAACACTGAAGTAGACAAATAGATCAGTGGAAGTGGAATGTATTTTATACTTCAATAAAAAATGCTTTTAAAAATAGTTAAGTGAAAGCTGGGTGGGGTTTTTTTGGTAGGTTCTCCTATACTGTGGGAGAGAGAATTGTATCTATGACAAAAAGTACGTTAATGAAATGAATGGCATCATAATTAAAAGTTTATGTGATACAGGCTCAGGACCCAAATTATGTAGGTTCCAATACTAGTTATGCCGGTAACTGGTTTTAGAAACTTGGTTTCCCTATCTCAAAAATGGGGGAAATAATAGTAGCTACCTCATAACTCATTAAGAATTCAGTGAGTTGAACAGGAAAGCTTATTACAGTAGCTGACACATAAGGCCTTGATATTAGGGTGTATCATTGTAATTTTATACATGGAAAAAGCAAGACCTTTTCCGCTACCTCTTTAAAGCCCTTTAAAAGATTCATGTGTTTAGAATTAAGAGAAATCAGGACATGGAAGCCAATGTTTAAATAGCAATTAAGCTCCATATTATATAACCATGTATAATTCTTGTTTTCATTCCTTGAAGTTGCTCCAAGCACCATCAGGAAACTGCCATCAAGATACCTTAAGAGAAGCAAGCACCCAAACAATTGCTTCAATGGTAAATCTCACTTGTTACAAGGGAGATAAAGGAGGCACAAAATTTACAGCTTTGTGAGAATTGACTGTAGAACCAGAGTTTTGTGATACCTATTTGAGTCCTAAGCCTAACAGTTTATTTAAATATTAATACTAACCTTAATTTGTTCACAAGTGGCTTGACCTTTAAAGTACTGTGTGGTATTTTAATGCGCATTATCACTTTCTGAGGGGCGGGTGAGTTGAGACAGCATCTTAGCATGTGGTCTAGGCTGGCCTTGAGCTCTGTAGGCCTCCTGTCTCAGTAACTCAAATGCTGGGTTTACAGGTGTGTGCCATACTTGGCTATGTACTGTATGTCTTAATGTAAACATGTCACATTTCCTCCCAGGACTTTAAGCTGTGGGTTTTACTGTTGGAGGGAAGCTGACAGGTCTTCACTGTGTCATTTGATATCAGAACAATGAAACTGGTTGGAATTATAAGCAGTAAATAGATTTGTTGTTAGATGAATTCATCACTTAAACATTGTTTAAGCTTCTAATAAAGTAACTTCCTAAGAATTCATTGGACTGGGCTTTGGTTATCTCCACTGTGCATCTGATAAAACAGACTTGCCTGAAGTACCTGGCAGGCAGAACTGGGACTGCACTGTTGGGTCTGTTCCATTTGAACGCCTCTGCTCCTTGGTCTCTGCTCTCTCCTGAAGTACAACAAGGCTTCGGTGCTGTTCTGTGTGGAAAACACTTAAGTAGGACTTGATTTTAGTACTGGCTTTAGTCTTAAATTTAGTACTTAAGTTCTCCAGAATTGCTGTTTTCCAAAATATAGTCTGAAACAGGGCTTAAAGTGAACATACTAAGAATCTAATCTCTTGAATACTGTTAATGTGATCTGGCACCACCGCAAAGCATTTAAAACCAATACAAATACATCCCTCCAGAGGTCCTCGGAGGCGGCCCCTCGCGCGTCCAGCATCGCGCCCACCCGTGATTGTCTAGACGGAATCTAGCCCCGCCGCTCGTTGTCGGTGGGCGCCCGGGACAGAGCGGGAAGCGCACTTGCGGGAATCTGAGGCACTGCGCTGCGTGCGCAGCTGGGCTGCCCAGCTGCGCCTTCAAGGCCGGGGAAGCGGGTCCCCGGCACAGGCGGAGGTGTGTCCGGGTCAGTCCCCCGCGCCCCCCACCCTAGCCTCAGAAGCCCCGGAGCTCTGTCCAATAGGCGGCAGCTGCCGCACGGGCCGGCAGGTGTGCGCACGCGCGCCGGCCTCCGTCACGAGCCCTGGGTCGTGGCTCTGGAAGCCGGAAGTGGCCGCGGGCGCTCGGAGGCCGCGGGAGCCCGCTCGCGGTGGCGCGGCAGAGACCCTGTTGGGTAAGCGGGGCGGGGACGGCTGAAGGGCCGGGGCTTGCTGGACCTGGGCGGGAGGGTCTGCGGCGTCGAGCGCATCCGCGCTTTGAGGGAGGCCGGCCGGGATGCTGAGTCAGAACGGGGCTGAGCGGGCCCCCGGGAATCTCCGGCCGAGCTCCCGGGACCGAGCGCGCCGAGAACGCCCCCCTCGTACCTGAGGCGCCACGCCTGGGGCGGGTCGCGCGGCCGGTCCGCTCATCTCGGGCGCCCTGCGGCTGACCCTCTGTGCTGCGGCCCCGGTCGGGCGGCGGACATACAGAACAGTCCGGGTCCGCTGCCGGTCTGGGCCGTGACCGCCCCAGGAGGCAGGGCTGTTTCCGTGGAGACGTGGAGTTGACCTGCCGTCTGCCACCCCTTTCCGACTGGTAGCTTTTTTAAATGCACTGGCTTTTCAGATTTTTTTAGAGGTTTCACCAAGGTTCCAGTGAAGTTAACAGCAAAGATTGATTTCATCGTAAGCTAAAGCCGTTCTTCATATACACAGACAAAATACTGATTTCTATACCTTTCCTTGCCCCCAGTGGGTCTGATTTGTAGGTTTATTTTCTATTTGCCAGGAATTTTCAGATTCTCCATCGTAATTGTACAATGTATGACCAGAGACCGACCTTTTTCACTCTGGCAGCTTCAACATAGTATGTCTTCAATGATTGACATAATAGATAAGTAGAGTCTAGAGGTCCTGGAACTTTGTCCCGTAGGCCCTGTCACCAAAGCAGTTTTCATCCTTGGTAACTTTTGTTTTGGAGGGAAAAAGAAAGTGAACCTAAGATGTAGTCACTAGTAATATATTTGTTGAGTGCCTGTTAATACTATACTTTTGCCAAATGTTGTAAAGATGTATACAGCATGCACTGGGTGGGTGTGCTGAGTCATGTTTTATTGTGAGAGTATGATGGGGCCATTGGAAGATAATTTCAAAAGGCATTTCTCCTGATCACTGTTGAGGACACATGTTTTTGTATTACCATGTAAACAGCAGGTAAGTGATACATGTGTTTTATATTATCAACTGGGTTCTTTGGAATAGTTTACAGCTACTGAAAAACAGCAAGATTACACTAATAAACGTTTTTTATTAGATATGTTATTATTTATAGAGTTTATCATTTATAGAATACAATGCAATAATTAATAAATATATTCCTAGCTAGGTGTGATGGCGAATGCATGTGATCCCAGCACTTGGGAGGCTGAGGCAGGATAATTGTTGTGAGTTCAAGACCGGCCTGGGCTATGAGTTGAGCTCAAGGCCAGCCTGAACTGCAGGTTGAGACTGTGTCTCAAAAAGACAAAAATAAATAAATAAATGTATTCCTTATTTTGAGAAGGGAGTCATTGCTTATTTCCAATAAACTATGTAAAATTTCCTGTCTTAATTAGATGTATCATAAAATTATATAACTTTTCTATTATACAAGAAATTGGTGAAATTTAGGCCCTTACCTTTCTATATGTTGCTAACCCTGCCTGGAATATTGGAGTCACTAATGGATCATAAAATGCCCAGTCCTGTGTACTGCTTCTGGTTCTAATTTAAGGTGATAATATGTCAAGGTTTTATTTTGATCTGGTGTTAGAGCACGTTTAAGGGAGCATGGTGGAACTAGTGGTTATGCTGTATTACCATGCCTCATTTTTATTCCAATATGAAGTTTAAACATTTTTAATACTTTTATAGTTTCATACACTTCCAGCATTAAACGACTAGATGTGATGCTTACTTTTTAAAGACTTGGTAATATGTAAGTATTTATTGTGTGTATAGTTATATATAATACCTGGAAGTTAGACAAACTATCTTGAAATTTTAGAAGAGTTAGTAACATTTCAAGAATAGTAATTTTGGTACCTTTCTTTAATGATTGTAAAGACTGTATATAGATGAAATTTTAGATTGTAGAAATGTTACATAGTGACAACAGTTGTTTCCATTAGTGTTGTCCTGCCCCTGAATGAAACAAAGTAAAAGTTACTATCTCTCTGTTGTATTTTATTACTTTTCTTTATTGTAAAATACTTAAAATATAATTCATTGTTGATGAACTGTCTTAGCCACTTTTGTACTGCTGAGGCACAGTCCTCATTTAAAGAAATGTGTTTTGAAAAAAAATATGTTTTGGTTCACACTTACAGTCCCTGGTTGCTGGCTCCAAAGCAGAAACAGCATGGTGGAAAGGCCTAGGCGTAGGAAAGCTGCGCAAATCATGGTGGCCAGGATGCAGAGAGAGAATGGCAGGGCTGGGGTGGTAGATACACCCTTGCAGGTCCTGCCCCTAGTGACCCGCCTCTTCCAACTAGAATCTACCTTCTAACATCAAGTCAGCTATAGCACCCACCCCATATTTAATCTCCTTTCAAAATCTCTACCTCTTGGTGTTTTTAAGTCTTTGAGGGGACATTGTTTATGTAAAACTTAACATTGATCTTGCAAAATATTTGAAGGAAGTATCACTGTCATTGGCAAAGACAAAATTAGAAGGAAAATACTTTTTTCAAACTTTGTAAAATTAAGCTGAATATATATATATATTCAATAAATGTTTGCTTCTAGAGCCTACATAACATTTTTTGTCTCTAATATTGGTAGAAACATATTTTTACATTGAGTTGTTTATAACTTTAGTTTAACAGTGAATTCTGGGTAGTCTTGAGACTAAAAATAGCTAACGTTTATTTCTTAACTGTGTCATTTCCTATACTATACATGCAAATCTTTTCCTATGCTATACATGCAAATCTTTTTTTCTTCCATAGTAAAACAAGAGAACACGACAAAGCAGAGATGCAGAGCACTCCTAACCATCTGTGGCTTTTATCTGATATCTTAGGCCAAGGAGCTACTGCAAATGTCTTTCGTGGAAGACATAAGGTTGGTACAGTGAAAACCAAAGGTTTGGTTTGGTTTGGTTTCATAGTATTAAAATTGAACCCAGGATTCTCTACCATTGTTTTTATTTGAGACAAGGTTTCACTAAGTAATCCAGACTAACCTGTAATCCTCCCTCCTCCCCCTCCTGAGTAGCAGGGATTACAGATGTGGGCCACTGTGCCACACCTAAAGTCTTTTTGTCACTGTGTATATTCTGTACTGAGAGACACATGAACATTAAAATGTTTGACTTGGTGATTCTGATTATTTTATCTAATAAAATATTTTAAATGATTTTGTGACTATTTAAGGTTTAACACGTATTAAAGGCAGTGAAACATCGCCCTAATGGTGGCAGAGGTCACATGTTATAGAATGGAGAAAAATTAAGAGGTTGATTGAAAAGCAGCCAAGGAGTAGGACTTTAGTATTGTGCTTTTTGATTCTCTGCTTCCTGAGTAGTGAATAAGTTCACTGACACTAGAGTTATTTGGGGTAATGTGTGGGAAGGAGGGGAACCTACAAGTAATTCTAATCTGCTCTACCGAGGTTTTATACACCTGCTAAAAACTCCATTCTACAAGGCACATGGGAGTAAAATGAGATTCTCAGCAAAAAGCATAGGGTATGAGATAATCCAAACCTGGTATTAGAATGGGAATAGTAAGGGGCTAATCTCAGAATACTGGGGGATGAAAGTAAATATAATTAATTTAAAGGGAAGAAATTGAAGATAAGTAAAGCATCTATTGTGGGAAAGAAGTTAGAAAAATAATGAAATATAAAATCCATTATAATGCTATTTTTTCAGGACTATGAATTTGTTTTCAGCTGAATGATATTTGGAGCCCCCTAACATCTTACTTTTAGAATCAAGGTCTATAAACATTGCAGTAGGGAGAAATGTCTTCCTGTTTTACTTTAGCCTCAAGATTACCAGGAATTTTGTCAGTGACATAAGCATGCAGAGAGAGGCTGTTTCCCGGGTGTGGTGGATCACAGAAAATGATCCAGAAATATCATGTGGACAGCTCTGAGTATTTTCCCTCTCATGCTGGGTCCTAGGTTTATTCTAATCAATCTTAAATATTCGTGTCCTAGAAATTGCTTTTATTTTATGCAGAAAGAAAACAGGCAGTGACAGAGAATTTAGCATTGAAAATGCATTTCCCCCCTGTCTTCCTGAGTTCCAGCTTAATTTAAAAACTTTAGGGCTAGGGATATAGCTCAGAGGGATAAGCACCTACCTGATAAAGTATAAGGTCCTGAGTTCAATTTCTGGTACCAAAAGAAACTTTAATGATTTTTCGATTTATATCAGGCACTGGGGTGAACCTAGTGAATATATAACTACATGCAATTAATGTGCAGTTGTACACAGTTTGCTTTAATAACAAAGAGGCATAAAGTGGAGGTAAATTGAAAACTAATGACAGTCAGTAGAAGTTGAATAAGACATATTTAAAGTGCCTGCTGCCAGGCAAAGTAGCACTTACCTATAATTCCAGCTGCTTGAGAGGTTGAAGCAAGGGGATCTAAGTTTGAGGCCTGTGTAGGTAATTTAGCAAGACCCTGTATTGAAATAGAAAGGGATAGGCATATCACTGAGTAGAAGAGCACTTGCCTGGCATGCCCAAGACCATGGGTTCAATCCCTCCAAAAAAGTACCTGGTATTAGTAGCTATATTTCATGTACTCTGGTTCTGTTTCTTTACTTTCTCAGTATCCTTCATGGACATGCCTAGAGTACTTAAGTACTCTAAATATTTAATGAATGAAGAATAAATGAAGGCATTAGATTACCCTAAAACGGCTTTAAGTTCTTCAAAGATAGATGTGCTTCTTTCAATACAGAGTGGAATTCTAAAATAAGAAGTTGAGAGATAAGAGACTTGACTCAAGCTAAGTATAGTGCCTTACACTTACAACCCCAGGACTTAGGAGGTTGAGGCAGGAGGATTGAAAGCAAGATCCTATCTAAAAAAAAAAAAAAAAAAAAAAAAAAGACATATAAAAGATTGCTAAGAACTAGTTTAATTTTTGATCCCTCACATAGTCTTCTCAAGTCTGTGTTCTCAAGTCTGTTTTTTGAGAAACCATGTTAGCCAACCGTGGTGGTGTACTGTTGTAATCCCAGCTTTTGGGAGATAGAGGCAGTAGGATCTCCATGAATTCAAGGCCAGTCTGGGCTACATAGTAAGAATGCATCTCAAATAAACAAAACAAAATCAAGGACCAGGGTCATAGCTCAGTCTGGCAAGCATCTGTCTGGCAAACGCAAAGTTTTGAGTTGGATTTCTGGTACGAAAAAAAAAAAAGGTAGGAAGCCATGTTTATTCTTAGAGATATTAATTTTAAGTATTTAAGATTACTCCAAAAAAAAAAAAATCCTGCCTTAGCCAGTGAAAGAATTCTTCATTAGTATTTGTTTACAATACATAATGATTACATTCACGGTAAGGAATTGGTACTTGTACTTGACACATTTTAATTCTTTCTACATCACTTCCTGTCCCCTCCCTCCTAGCTGCATTTTTCCTTACCCTCCATGTATTATTTCCTCTTGTATTTTTTCCTATTATTTATCT